ATACCCCCATAAGAACTGCTGGATTGTGTGTGTTTTCTTTTTGTATAGTGTGCAATTTAGTTGCCTCAAGCTTAAAAACCACCTCGGGAGGGCTTTTCCACTGCTAGGCATAGGGAAGTACTGCCCATTTTATTAAGAAATAAAAGAAAGTATTATTTTCAATCCCACAGTTCATTTCCAGAATAATTTGTTGCATCAAAGATGAATTGCATGTATCCATATTATTGGTAGCATCCATAAAGACATACAAATGTGTAAGTGAACCAGAATATCCAGCTACATTTACACAGGATATTCCATTCCGGCAATTCTCATGTGCTGGGGCATGAAATCCCATGGGCAGTGGGGAGGTCTCTGTCTAGACAGCTTGTGCCTGCTCACGATTGATTACTTCTACCCCCTCCACAATGGCTCATCAGCTCCAGGAACAACCGGAGGGTTGATCAGAGACATGGCAAATGTGGTAAACTCAAAACGCCTCCACAAAACCTGTAACGTGGTTAATACTTCTCATCTGATCTGCCATGAGGAATCCTACATCTCAAATAACTTTACTCTGTACTTACTTCTCCGTCCAGATGCTTAGTTTTCCATTTCAAGCTGCTTCTCCAGAGCTTGTGGCTTGAGTGAGAAAGGCTGGCAGGACTCGGCGGTTAAGGAACCACAGAGCATATGTCATCTTGGCTGCACAGGGAGATGCCTGTTCTAAATTTGTCATACTGTTTGTTTGATCATTTTGATTCATTTGTGAAATGATACACTACTGCCTATCCAAGTTAGTAAACTTTTCACTGCTTCCCTTACTCGAAATAAAACTGGATGATGCATAATGCTGCTCAATGCAATGGCTACTTTTCTTGCAGACATCAGCACTGTAGCAAGTAGGAGTCATGGATCTAAATAAGATGGCTAAATACTTTCTTGGACCACTGAAGTTTCCAAAATATAAACAGTGGCAAAGATTACAACATACGCTCTGCTTTCCATCTCTTTTCCTTTCAGTGGAGTTAAATGCAGAAATGCTGGAGATCCTAGCCACCCAGCCACAAGAAGAGCCTGGCACAGCTCAGTAGGCAAAGGCATCTTTGCTGACCCGCTTCAGGATCAGCCCCCTGGGTGTCCTCCAGTCCCTGGACCTGGTTAACCCCCAGGCAGGCCTTGGCCTCCATTTGGATGAGCTACCTGCCAAATCCAAGTGGTTTTGGTTGTGGCAACATGCCTAATTAGAACATAATCACCTCATTCCTCAGCCCATGGCCACCAAGTGCTGACATGACCTGGGCTGCTCTAGAATATGCAACCAAGAGGGGTAAGTGATTTGTCACAGCAGATGTCTGCACCACAAGGGAATCCATCATCATTCACTACCACGATGTGCTAGCACTGCCCTGAGATAGCATGAAATTACGATGGGCTTACTTCCTGGTCCTCTGAAATGTTACAGGGTATTGTCAACTGTAGGCAATTATAGCTGTCACCGGTCTATAATGAAAGAAATCTCTTGAGATGTGCTTAATTTGAGCCAATATGCCTTTAAAGTTACACTAATACATACAGGAAACTAACTCATCATTAACAGAGGAAAACTACAATCAGTGTAAAGGAGAGCCTGCCTGAGAAAATTAAAGGTGGCAACTCCTACATCAGAGAGACAGCATAAAGTAACACAAAACGTACTGCTTTCTTCTGCTCTGGCATCTCTAATGTGCAACATTGTGTATATACAAGACTAGAGTTTAAGAATCCTGTGCTAGCAATGCTTTTGAGGATCAGTGTCTAGAACAGCTACAAGGACTCCTATATAGCTACAGCTGGATATCCCACAAGCTGCCAGTTCCGCTCCTCTTGATTTCCATGATGAATCAGTAATGGCATGGTAAAAGAAAACCATGTTTTCTTAAAAAGCAAATGAAAAAGAAGTTGTTCCATTTAACGAACTTCATAGAGGGGAAACAATATGTTCTGTAGCACACACAGATGGACAGTAAGATTGTATGGAAGAAGTATGAATTGCAAAACGAAACCAATCTTCTCACCATTCATCCTAGCTTTTGGAGAGTCTGGAATCCCCATTTTAGAGGGGAGAAAATGAATGTTAGTATAGCTCACAGAAAAAGGGACTATAAATGGCAGAACTGGAAGTTCAATGGATTTGTAGATCAGAATGTTTTTATAAGAAGTTTGAAATCGCGTGTTGCCAATAAAAAACAGCCTAAGCACTGAAATGGGAATAAAAAATCTGGCATTTTTAATCTAAATTAACACTGTTTAATCCTTAGGACATCAGAGGACACCTGATAAACATTAACGTTCATCTTTATAAATAGACACATTTTTTTCTATGCACATGTGTATGGGTCTATCAGATGTATATCGCATGCAAGACTAGGGGCAAGGTCAACATAAGACAACCCAAGTACACTCTTACAGCAGCATCTTTTACCAGCCCAGTCTGAACGAGCTTGGGTGCCTCTAACCTTTGCTACAAAGGCAGCCAAAACTTTGATACAGCCTTTGGCTTTAGCTACGTGTGTCTAAACAAGGGCATTTTATAATCACAAGTATTTGTGGCCTGGAATATATTAGGTTATAGTCACACTGGCACTACTAGCAGTATTTCATAACGCTCCAACCTAAAAATCCTACTTGAAGTGAAGCTCTCACTAACGTGTTTTCACTCTAACTCATTTCCTTTATTTAAACTCTAAAGCAATGCCTTATTTACATATTCTCTTAGAAAAATAAACCTAGAAGCAGTTAAAACTTCAGTCTGACAAAACTCTTGTGCTTAACACACTTCCCCATTATGTGATTGCTTACAGCTTATATAGAGAAGGAAAAAAAAACAACCTACTTTCAAAATTGAAAGTTTGGGCACTGTTTGTCTGATTTTAGTTAAAAAAAGAAACCAAAGGATAAGTCTATAATCTCCTTTGTGTACTTTAATCAGGTTACTTAAGGGAAAAAATATTATTTATTCCATCCAATGTTGTATGAATATAATACAGACTGTTTCAGTTGGCTCCACTGCACTTCAGTCATGCTTGACAAAGTACAGTCCATAACAAGTGTCTATCATGGAAAGGGAAAAGAACAAATCCAGAAAACGTGAAAAACAGCCCTTTTGTGAGGACAAGAGAACTGAAAGTGATCATAGTGATACTCACTGTCAAAGTAACAGATCCCTGCATTTAATTTCCCAAAGCTCAAGACAACATATACCTTACATGGAAACCTGAAACTCAAAGCTATAATTTAGGTTGCTGTAATGATAGCGATAGCAAAATCCTACAAATCCTAAGCCAGCTATGAGAGGAACATATGTTTTTCAGGGCCAGAAGTATCCAAGTGGAGTCTGGTCCAAGCTGCTGCTGTGTCAGGCAGTGCACTGGAGGATGTTGCTCTGCTACCCAACAGAAGCATAGAGGAGATCTTCTAACTGAAAACGCTACAAAGAATATTGGGGGTTTTAAACCCAATTTAATACATTTGATGTCTGGTAAAAGGGAAAAGCTCACACCACTTCCCCTAAAAGACTGAGAACCTACAAATAATCAAAGCAGCATAAAAATTTCTAGCATTAAACAAAAAGTATTATGACTGAATTTATAGCATAAAACTACTGAGCACCTCTGCTCTGGAGACAGGCTGAGAGAGCTGGGCTGGTTCAGTCTGGAGAAGAGAAGGCTCCCAAAACCAAACCAACAGAAACCCAAACCAAACCAAGCCCCAACTGTATCAAACCTCCTACGTGTCATTGGCTTGTACTTATTTTCTGGAGTCATGTACAAATATTAGGCTTTTACTGTGCTCTGGCCTGAGGATAAGCCAACTAAATGGAACATGGAAAACCACTGGATATAGCAAGAGAAATCACAGAATCATAAAATAGTTAGGGTTGGAAAGGATCATCTAGTTCAACCCCCCTGCCATGGGCAGGGACACCTCACACAAAACCGTGCCACCCAATGCTTCGTCCAACCTGGCCTTGAATGGCTGAACCTGACTGATAACATGGGGGAATTATGCAAGAAAAGGCTGAACTTCATCATCAGAGGCAAGTAGTGGGGATACAGCCTTGAAATGCCAACAATGCCAAGGTAATGGCAACCCAACTGCCACATGAAGCTGAGATTATCTAGATAATGTATGAGAAACTATGTATGGAACTAGATGATCTTAAGGTCCTTTCCAACCCTAACTATTCTATGAGTCTATAATTGAAATACAACATTTTGGGTAGCGCCGTTGACAGCTGGAACATAACAACAAATTGCATCTGTCAGTTTGGACCACAGCACACCAGCCAAACCTGTTTCTGCTGTGAGGAGAATCCACTGTTATCCTTGGCTAACAGGAGAACACCCAGGGGAACAGACAGACCATCCCCGTAGCAGGATACATGTTCCAGGCCTGACAGAACCAGCAAGTGACCATTGCTTCCTAGCAGTCTTTAGAAGTGTCTTTCAAATGGGTTGTGTATTTAGAAGGCCTGCTTATGTTCAGATTAGCTATTTAGAGGACTGCTTTTCCTATAAACACTTGTTAAAAGTTGTATTCACAGAGAACCTTGAATCATGTTGACAAGCTAGCATACACAGTACAGATGACAGTTATTGATACGGAAAGTATCAAAGTAGCTGGAGAACAAGTTAAATTTATCCACACTTGCATATTGCTTCAGAAGATCACAACCTACATGCCAAAATGACCAGAGAAGCATTATTTAAAAGAACAAAAATACATAATCTTAAACTTCTACAAAGTAAAATTCCCTATTGTTTATATTCCTATGCCAGCTCTTCAGCTCAGCACGTCTGTTTCGCAGGTTGTGAACCCTGAAAACCTGAAGGTCTCCACTGACCGCTCATGCCTCAAGGTACTCGAATAGCTCTTCTCACTTCAGCCTGGAATTCATCCTTTCAGCTAAGGATGGCTGAAGCAGGAATAAGAATTGGTGCATCCTTTCAGAAGAAAATCATACTAAAGAGGTTCCAAAATTATACAGTAAATAAATTTTATTCCATCTCAGCTCTTGTCAGATTAGTGCTGTCAACAGTCACAGATCAGCATATGATACAGTTATGTATTAACTATTTACAATTTACAGGAACATACTTTTTTTCTCCAGAAAATATAAGTACAAAAGCTAGGAGTAAACAAATGAGGTACTGCAAGTTGGATTTATTGTAGGCAAAAGCATATAGAAGTGATCCTTAGCTAACAATCATAAGATCAAATTGGGAGAGAGTAGTCATCAAGTGTGCCTAGTTCATCAGGAAAATCACCTCAACCACTACCTATCCAAAATGTATTGCACAGTTCATTCAAAAATTAAAAAAATAAATAGAAGAAACAAACCATTTATTTCAACTCTTAAAAAACACCCAGTAAAGCCTGTATAGAGATACAGTAGTGGGCAGCTCCTTCCTAGGATAAAGTCTTTTCTCTCCTTTAAAAAAATAACTTTTAACACAAAATAGAAGACAGTGTTTAATAGAAGAGAAAAAAAGAGTCATCACCAGATAACCCCTGATTAGCCTTTCTCTTCAAGGCAGTTTTAACCATATTCATGGTCCAAAGGTGGTGCTGAGTTTTGGTTCTTGCTATTCCACTTGTGACCTTGAATAACAGCTTTTCTTCTTGTCCCTTCTCAAGGGATGATAACAGAGATATGAACATATTTCTAAGCAGCAGTGTCATGAGAGAGTCTCATCACAACTTCTTCAATATGGTCGTCGCCATGACTAGAAGAACGGAAAGTTAAAACAAGTGTTACATTATTGAGAGCAACTTAGAAGCACTTAATACTAAAATAATAATGACATTGTTTATTGATAGGAATAGGAGATGGAAGTACTTCAGGTTAGTCAAACTGCCAGATTAACTGATTTCAAGTAATTCCATTCCAGTAGCTGCAAAACAGTTGACAAACTGTGATGAAACCAAAACAACCTGCAGCAAAACACTCAAGAATCTCACTGGAAACAGTCTACCACATCGCTGCAACTTACTCCAAACCAAGCTGTCCTGTCTGCATAAGGGCTATCATCAAAATGATGAAATAAAATTCAGGGGCTAGCAAAAAGGCCCCTCTATTAGGAAAAGAATGACTGCTTTCATAATGAAGTCAGTATCACCTTAACCTCTAAGTTTTATACATGCAAGAATATCATCCCATTTGCTGGCCATCTACTGACATAAGACAAAAATACTTGAGATAAAGTAATAAACTACAATACAATGATACGGTCTGCAGTTTCAATACACATCAGTATTAACAGATAACTGCTGACATTGAGGTCTGTGATATACTTCAAATATGGCTGAGAATGCCTCAACTTTTTATATACCAGTATTATGAACAGCACGATGAGAATTAAAGTTTCAAACATGCTTTCTGCAACAGTGCTGTAAATAGCTTTGTCCTATCATTACCAACAATTCAATTACGTTCAATAGAGGGCTAGAAAAAACACTTGATTTTGTCAAGAAGTTATCAAGGCCAGGAGGAGGCAGTCAGAACTGTATAGCAATTAAAGTGCAATAAAGTGCATTTGCTATCAGATTGGAAGGTTTAAAAGAATGCAAACTGAAGTGGAAACCATGACTGCCTGCTAAGATGGACAGATTTTTCCCTTTGAAAAAGATACTATTTTGTACTGAAGGCTCTATTTGCATGACTGCAACGGAGGGATATAGCCTGTCAACTGCATTGTGGTAACTGGCATGGAAACAGGCAGAGTTAATCCACTTTGCTCCACTGCAGTCCAAGCTCTGTGTTTCAGCTGACAGACAGTGATAGCTTTACATGCACTGAATCAATTCCTGGCAACTGTGCAAAGCTTTCCTGTTGCAAAGGAGGGAAAAGAAAGTTGGGCTGACTGTATGGAATCCATCTGAAAAGTTTATTATTAAATTATTATTAAATTATTATTTCTGCAGTGCAGAAAGTTTTACCTGTGTACTTCCATTTCCTCTCCACTCCTCTCTCAACTGCTAATGCTCTGTGATTTTTTGGCTTGGCTAGTTTGATACAACCTGCATTTTAGGCCTAAATCAGCTGTTGTTTTCCTGTAACATTACAATCAGTGTTGCAGATTCATAATGAATGTAGCTTAATAAAACCTGAAGAAATGCACAATAAACTGAGAGCATAAAGCTCCCCAAATTGTTCTCCCTAATCTCTCTGCTCTAGCTTCTCTTGATACTAAGCCAAAGCTCCGATTCAGAAAGGTACTGATGTTTAAATGAAATCACACAGGAATTCCTCCAGAGAGCGTATTTCATCACTCTTCAAAATAAGTGATACAGACATTGTCATGTCTGTAAGATATAATAATTCATTTCAAGCAGTACAGTGTATGTTTCCCATAAATCTGACTTGCCTATCCAAAAAAGGAGTTCAGAAAGTGAATAAAGACAAAACAAAGCCAAGTGCAATAAAATTCAGTATTACATATTAATTAATATCTGATTTTTCTTCTACAACTGAGATTTCTGTAGCTCAATCAGCATTTGAAGTTACGCTTATAACTCAGATTAGTTTTGAATCAATATTTACCATTTTCAAACTTGGTTTCGTAAAGCAAAACATGATTAAGAGTGGAACAAAGTTTATCATACGCATACAGAACAGAGAGTTTGATTTTTTTAAACAAAAGCAGGCATGAAACAAAAGCAGAAGAATGAGTCATATCATGCTACAGGTTTCATCTTTAACTAAAACAAGTATGTATTAATTAGGCTTCACTCACCCACATGCTAACTAAGCACAGACTGATGGGATTTTCAGAAGATACCACTGCGAGGTGAGGCAAACTACAAAGCCAGGAAGAAAACAGCTTATTGACTACTTTGTTAATAGTGTAGATAAGAAGTCTGTGGACATCTGCTGCTTAGGATGAGATTGCTGCAGTTAGATCACAGTAACCGCGCAGTAATCGGGTAAGGAGACACATTGAGCTAACGTATGTTTATTGACCTAGGAGTTTGTTAGTTTTCAGAAACCTGTTAATTATATGCCCACTAACAGGGAAAATAATTACTCACAGATACTTAGTACTACACACACTTACTGTTTTCCAGTAATACATTTAACTAGCAATTAGATATTAAAATAGTTTATACACAAAACATCTGTAAGCAAAGATACAGAAACAACCAAGCTTTATGTAAGCACATGTAAGTTGTAGTTCAGAACACTTCTGCTCATGAGATATAAATACTGGATATTTACAAATACCAATATTAAGTGTATTTGTTCTGTTGTACCCACAGCTATCAGAAACATAGTTTAACCAATTATGAGAAATACTAGTTAAGAAAAATACGCTTTTTCCTCACATTTACTATAAACTCAAACCTACAGCTGTAATTTGACATCCACTGAGGAAGAGGGAAGGGGAGAGAAAAGGAGTTCTCTTGAATGAGGACACAGGGAAAAAAGGAGACTTAAAAGAAAGTTTCTAATTCCTTATTCTTGCCACTTAATCTCTTGCATAAACTTGGTTTCCGTCTATAACTTACCAATGGCCGAGCATCTTCTCGTTCTAGGATCTTCTGAGTCTGATCTGCTGGGAACTTCAGCACTGTTGTTATAACCTTGGCCATTGTCTAAAAACAAATAGGTCATCTATAAGCAATTTCACATGCATTACAATGCTTTGTGATATTTTGCATTCATTTCATTTAAGAATACGGAATACTGTTTTGAGTAATGTCAGTGGAAAACATGGTGAAATGAGTAAGGTATAACATATTCTGCATTTGTGTATGCATGACATGTTAACTATGTGAAAACAGTGAAAAGTCTTTCACTTGTCACAAACTCCAGCCACTGTAAGAGGTAAACTCTGGTATCTATGCTCAAATAATATAGTGCATTAATAAGACAGTGTACGGATACAAATACTGCTCCTACCACATTTGTTCTTACTGTGGCCTTTCTGAAAAGCACATTTCAGGTGAGGGGCACCCCGGAGAGTCCTTATGGATTGAGCTACAATCACATCACCCAAATATTTTGTAAAGAAATGAAACCCTGAGAAAGCAGATTCAAATGTCACATGTGGATTGAACTCCAGTTGAGTGAATATTTTTTGAGTATACAGTGAGTATACAGTAGCCCCTTACTTAAATAGCAAACCATTTAGACATCCTCAGTCAGAAGATGCGAGAACAACAAAGCTCTGGTGCAAAGGAGACAACAATTATTTCCATTTTATAAACAGATGAGTGGGAAACTCCAAAAGGCACAAAACAAAGTCCAGGTGACTTCTTACAATAAAGGTCAATAAGAGCTGGAGTGCAGCTCAAGCAGAAGGTGACTGATACAGAAACAGTAACTGCTGCTCTTGAGGAATGTGGATGAGATAAGATTGTTACTTTCAATGTCTACTGTTTATTACCAGTCTCACTTGTGGAATGAAAAAGGAGGCTGAAGCAACAAAGCAGCTGCAGGACAAGAATTACTGCAGCTAGAAGTGACAGGTAAAGCTCTAATTTGCAGCAACTGTTTTAGTATATAACTTAACTACTGATGTAAATCAAAGGAAAGCAAAACAAACAGGGCCCAGTTGAGCACTTTCAGCTAAAAAGGCTCAATATTAACACATTAATAGTTCCTGTAATTAAGAAGTAAGTGCTTCTACTGAAGTTCCCAGATACACAAAGGAATGTGCTCAACACCACAAACTAACATCACACTTTTCTGATTTCTTTTGCCAAAATCCTCATCAGTTATTTAGGACTAAAAGCTAAGCAAGCACCGAGCTTGCAATCTATTCAAACTCATTGTAACAGTGCTATCAAGAAAGCCCTCTCAACAATATTCTACAGGACCAATGGCATGCAAATTTTAAAGAAAAATCTACAAACATTTCAAATACTCCATGAAAGCAGAGATATTTATGTGCCAACTTAAATGTGGGCTAAAACCTTCTTTTCTGAAAACATCCATTTTGTATTTTATCACTAGCAATGACGTGAAATTCTCCAGATTTCTGATGCCACAAGGGACATTTTGAAGCAGAATTATTCAACATTACTCACAGTTGCATAATTAGAAAACAAAGTTAGAAGGATTGCAGAACTTAGGATAGTATGTTAAATATAGGCTCACCTTATCACTCTAACACCCTATTCTACTGTTAAACCCCCTAATAACTCTTAGCATACGAGCACACACACACAAGTTCCTGAGTGCCTGTAATGACCTATAGAAAGACCATCAGCTTCCCCATCCACAACAGCTAGTTCTGCTGTAAGAGATGAGTTTACATTCAGATTTCTTTCTATGAGGCTGATAAATGTCATCTCTGAAAATAGTATTTTACAGTGATACCGATCAGTCCCTTCAATGATTCAAGAACTGCTGGTCAAAGGCAGAACCTTCATTATCAAAGTTTTACCCTTTGTTTTATACCCCTTGTTCTTCTGCAATGTGCTAGAGCATGTCGTGGTACCAGAAAAAGATCTGCATATAAAGATGCATTCCATTACATTCTTCCACTCTTGTAGTTGATATGAACATACACATCTGTTACAGGCAAACAAAACTCAGTTTGATTTTCTGGCTTCAGAACAAGACTCCAAACAAGTAGAATGTAGGACTTCTGCAAGACTTAAGGCATAGTGTGCACTACAGCTGGACTGGACAACTGTACACATGTCAGCAGACATTCAGATTTAAAAACTCTCATCATTCTCCCTTACCTTTCTACATCTAAATACCCAAAGGAAAAAAAATGTAGTGCTTTGAAAACTATTTCTGTGGGTTGTTTCTTTAAATACTCTTCAATATCAACATTCAAACAATGCCTTCTCAAGTTATTGTAGGAACCAGATGTCTATCTTTTCTGATTTTCATCTTTTATTTGGGAGCCAGCATGCAGGCAATGTTGTAATGGCAGCTTCTGATTTAAATACAATATAATCTCCAGGAAATACATACACATAAATGCATACATACATGCATGAATGTATTACAGATACTTGTTCATACAGCTTTTAATCAAAACAATTGAAAGAAAGGTAAGAGAGAGACAAAGTCAATTTACTTTAGCACTAATTGTTGCTGTTATTGAAGAAATCAACTGCGAATTTTAGAACATCACCATTAAAAAGAAGGAAAAACCTCATGATTTGTCATCCAAAGTTTTGAGACATGTATAATAATGTTTTGAAGATCAGCAAGAAAGAGCCTTAATGAGTGCAAAAGAGGTTTCAAATCAGGTTTTCTGGAATGCAAATGTGCTACATGCACCAGCTATCTGCAACAGGCATCAGCAGCTGTCTCAAGGTTTGTTTGAAGCCGAAACATTGCTGCCATTTTTAGTATTTGTGCTTGTCTAAGTCCCTCACAATTCAGAATCATAAAATCCAGTAATATACATTTTTTTCTTTCATGATTTCAGTTGTTTGTTATTAGAGAGCCATCCAATGAGCCACAGGCTTGTGAGCAGAAGGCAATGTGATTCTGGGGCATTTGGATCAGGGATTTGTATTTTTAATAAAAAAGGAATTCATATCAAAGTGAAAAATCAGATAAAAAGAGAAAGGAATCCCTCCCGTAAGGAGAAGATGTCCTGCACAGACCAAGTTTTACTCTGTGCAGAGCACAAAGAGAACAGAGCTAATTAACATAGAAAACCTACATAAAACCTTTCTGCTTAATAGCAGTCTCAGTTGAAAGCAGGGCAACAAAGAACGGAAGAACTCCAGGGAGTAGAGAAAAGAAAACAAACAACCCAACAACAACCCCCAACAAAACAAACAGAAAACCACTCATCCGTATAGCATTTATCATCCAAGAAAAATGTTTGTGTTATGAAATACCTCTTTTGAACCTGGTCAATCTCTAAGCATCAGTATTGTTACAAGCTAGTAAAATTCCAACAATTTCACAAGATTGCAGCATATCACAAGAAGCCTACTGTGCAGTTTTTCAGTACTGTTAAGAGTAAATTAATACTATCTAGAGAAGGTATAGAGATTTGGATAGCCTATAAAGCATCTTTAAGCAACAATTAAAGATGTATTTCACCATCTTCAGAGCTACTAACAAGCTTACTTAATCCAACTGTTACTTACTATGTTTGTGTCCAGATGACACCAAAAGAGCACTTTTGCTAACACTGTGCATACCAGCTTTCACAATACATTAAACTTGACTGACAACAGCCCTTTTGCTAATAAAACCATACATAAAGGGTTTTGTCTTCATAAGTACACTGGAGAGAGATGTGACAACCCTCCTATCAAATCCCGCATCGCTAATAAACAGCATGTAACGAACCACAAACACATGGTGCTTCAAACCTATACAAGGATGTTAAACTGTATTCTAACCTAAATCACATGTCACTATATACAACTTTGCATACCTTTGTCTCTCGACCCATCATATATTCGAAGAGCACTTTCCTCAAGTATTCAAACTCAGTAGGCTCCCCAAAGAGGGAAACGTCAGTATGGTGAAGGCTTCCATCTGTATAAACAAAAATAAGAGAATATTTATAGCGAGTCACTCATATGAATCTAAGTTTCACCAGTGGCATGAAACTGAACAAGAACAAATGCCAGATTCTGCAGCTGGGATGGAGTAACACTGGTTGCAATTCTGAACTGCAAGGAGTGGCTGGAAAGCAGCCCTGCAGAAAGGGGTCTGGGAGTGCTGGTTGGCTCAGCAGGAGGCTCAGCAGGAGTCAGCAGTGTGTGCTCTGGCAGTCAGAGCGCAAACCACATCCTGGGGTGCATCACAGACAGCATGACCAGCCAGTCAAAAGAGGTGATCATTCCACTGTATTTAGCACTAGTGCAGCCTCACCTCCAGTACTGCATGCAGTTCTAGTCCCCACAATTTAAAAAGGATGTGAAGGTCCTTGAATGCTTCCCAAGGCAGGCACCAAAACTGGTGACGGGGCTGTCCTATGAGGAGTGGCTGAGGACACTGGATTTGTCTGGGGAGGAGGAGACTGAGGGACAACCTCATTGCTCCCTACAGCTTCCTGAGGAGCAGAAGTGGAGAAGTTGGTGCTGAACTCTTTGCCCTGGTGCCAAGATGTGTGGGAAGGGGTCAAAGCTAAATCTGTCAGGGGAGGTTTGCACCTGACATGAGGAAACATTTATCAGAAAGATGGTCTGACCCTAGAAGAGGATTCCTGGAGAGGTGCTTGACCAACCAGCTAAAGGGTTGCAAATCTTTTGAAGGTGATCCACTACCCATGGATGTTTTTTTGCTCCTTGTACTTATTTTTAGAAATGCCTGAGCTGTCTCCCATGGAAAAACATGCTAAATCAGAACAGTCTAAGAACAACCGTACCCCATCAGAGAGAAAGTCAATCTGGCCCAATGCTCTTGTCCCATAGAGGCCAACCATCAATGTCTAAAGGAGAGCATATTAGCAGTGCAAGTATACTTCTGGGGGTGCGTATAGGCCTCAATGGTTGGGACTGGCCCCCTATGGGACCTCCAACCCCACCAAGTCCTGTCAAGGGACATATGTATTTAATTAGCCAAGACAAAGTGGTAATTCCTCCTCAGCCACTTTTGAGCACCACGGCCTATACCACTCACCCTGGGGATACAGAAAGCTTAAGAACTCTGATACAGAGCTCTTTTAACTGTATGTCATAAAACCAAATACCAAACAAAATGATGTGTGATTTGCTCATCTGAAATCACACACCAGCTGTATTATAACAGACAAGACAAAATAAGGCTGTCATAAAAATATCATAGGAGTATTTTAAGGAGACTGGCATTTTCACAAATTGTCATAGCAAAGCATATCTTTCAAACAAACAACTTACTTGTGATGAGAACTCTCTACTTACCTCTGTATGGTGTTCCAACTGATGTGACATACATATTCTTCTCATAATTTCTCAACCTGTCTTCTAGTACATTAATCTAAACAGAGAATGGTTAAAATGATAAAAGGTGTTCACAAGAAACTAGAATAAGCATAACTGAAATAATTCGCAGCTAAACATCATCTCTTTTATGAAAGCAAAATACATTTGCTTTTTAAGGAAGGAAAACATTAAAAAACTGTTATTAAAAACTCCTAAACTATTTAAGTAAATGTGTGTACATGTATATATATACATAAGAATATAGAAAATGTTATGCATATATATGTATTTATATACATACACATAAAACATATCTACATATATCCACACATATAAACATACACAAAGAAAACATGACAAAAAAGGTACTTATCAAAAAGATTTAGTTTGGAAAAAGAGAAGATCCGTAATTCCTTACAATCATGGAACCCACTAGGTTGGAAAAGACCTTTAGAATCATCAAGTCTAACCGTTACCCAGCACTGTCAAGTCCACCACTAAACTGTGTCACTAATTTCATGAAGTGCAGTGCTCCATTCTTTACTGTGCATATGTTCTGCAAACTTGTATTATCACAAGCATGTAATGTTTTCATTCTCAGGGGACAAAGTACTTTGAAAAGTGCACAGATCTCCTGAGAGCAAGTACGAGTCAAAACCATTTTACATGCATATTGCTTCCATAGTACCTGCATGGAGATGTGCTACATGATCACCTGAACAAACCTTTTATTGCTGCAAACACAAAGCATCAAAGAAGAATATTTTTCACTTGTTCAAACAGCACCCTTACCTGCTCTTTGAACTCCTGCTCCTTCAGTTTTGAATCATTGACTAGGGTGGTTTTCTGTGCAAGCTGGGCCTGAAAGAACAGATACATGGAAATCACCGAGAAACTGATGAAGATACATCTTGGGTATTTTTTCAATAAACGTTTTTCTCCTTTTAACACACACACACATTTATAAGCAGTATTTCTGCTTTCAAACTGCTGTGACACAGAATTATCTAGGGAGCAAAGTCAATACAATTTAAGACATACCTGAAGCTCTGTTATTGTGACCTAGAAAACAACAAAAAAATTTAGATTAAGATGTATGAAAAATACTGAGTGCATCAAGCACTGGACATGAGTGAAATAAAAAGAAAGAAATATCAATCACCAGGTTCTGATACAATGTGTCACTTAAGAATGAAAAAAATTGAAGTGACCAAATCACACATATAAAGATAACTAGTCCCATAAATCAAGTCTAACCTATCAATATTGACAGTATATAAAGCTCATATTTAAATTCTCTCATTTGATTGCGTAAGACAATTATCATAAATATAACTTCAAGAACTTCGTATTTCCAAATCTTTACAAAAAACATACTGGAGATGAATGATAACTGAATGAGCGTGAAGCACATGCCACAAAACCCTAGCTACTATCAACGCTATTCACAATATTGTATCTTTTTCCTTAGCTCTCCACGTTGCATTTGGAAATGTGAACATTTATCTGAAAACAGCTTCAGCTTAAGAGCTTCATGAACTCCGTATCTTGCAAAGACAGCAATGTTTATGAAGCACAGAAACAATTCTATGCTGAAATTTTAATCTTTCAATGTTGCAACTCTAACGAAAATAATGCTTCAGTAGTCATGGGTATAACCCAAAGCTGTAATTTTGCACTAGAGTCTCTAGTGTCCAATAAGCATACTAATATTCCCATTGCTGCATGTTGTCAAAATGAAAAATTTTGAAGTAAGATTAATATGAATTCTTATCAATGACTCAACACCTCAGATACTTTCCCTCCTCTCAGTATAACAATAACTAGCATCATTTCCATCAAAGAATTCCTCAAAGTAACATGTGGTTTCAGAAAGACAAAGGCATGCACTTGGCCTTCTTTCAATGAAGGCCCCTCTGTCCATAATTGATACATTAAAGGCACTATTTCAGAGTCTTGTGGAATTTGAATTTTAAAAAATTACTCTAAAAATGACCCAATGTGGTTTCCTTTCGTTCTAAGGATCTTCCAGTAAAATCATCATAAAACACACATGTAGAGGGCAACAAAACCCCACCTTAATAATCTCGACATAACTGGGCTTTTTAACATGCCATAACAACACTGCAAGTTCCTAAGAGATTCACTTTTGAAGTTAACATTAAACCAATATAAATATGTGGAAAAGTGAAGGCTAGATAGATAAATTAAGTCCAATTAAGAGCAAACTACAGAATTTTATAAACATTTCACATCTAAAGATATAAAAATGAATAGTGCCAGCTCACTTTTTCATTGCTCCAATGTTCCTCTTCTGCCATCCTTTCTTTGTGTTCCTTCTGCAAGTCTTCTAGCTGCGCCTGCAACTCATGGACTTTTGCTGTCATCTCTTCTTCACGAGCCTTCAAAATACAGGAAAAGAAAATCATTTACACAATGAATCATCTAACCACTCCAATCCTTAACTGCAGGGGACAGAAAGCACTCAAAAAAGGGGCTATGCTATACCCAGAAAGAATATGCTTGAAATTCTGGATATAGTCTAATTACACTACAGGACTACAGGAAAGATAAAGAAACAAACATAGGATCTTAACAGGATTTTACCTTTGACAATTAAGATTAAATAGTTAAGATTACACTTAGTTTTTTTGAATATTACAAAAAAAGAGCTATTTCTACCTGGCACTGAACCAGCATTTGAGTATCAGCCAGCAAGTGTATTACAAGAGAGACTGTGCTTGCTTGTATGACCTTCATGAAAGGAATACATGATGATGCAGAGTTACTTCCTATACTCTGAACATGACAAGGACTCACAAAGATGTTCCTAAAGCAGTTTCAAGCACGGTTTCGGAAACAACTTCCTATTCACAAGTGTGGAAGAGGAAAGAAGCAGTGGCAAGAACAGTAGGAAAGAAATTAACTTTTCCTATATGTTTTATGACAGTGTAAAGAGTATATTTATAGGAGAAAAATATGATGACATAAATCTTAGCAAGTCAATCCACCTATGTGGCACTTGGCAAAACCTAGTATATTTTAGGACAGTCTCCCGTCTAGCCTTTTCTGTGAGAAAACATGTTAGGATGCTTATAAAACAGCATTCTAATTCAAAGTGCATGTCTCCACAGCTGAACCAAACTCAAACTCTAGTTTCCAGCTCAAGGACATAAGGACCTAACCACATAATTTTTACTGAATTATCAGAACTGGGACTTATGTTCATAAACTTTCATGTTCATAAAACACAGAAGCAAACATCTGAATTGCAAGCTAGGTCACCACATGTATCACATGTGATTCAAGAGTTAAGTTCCTTACTAGAAAGGATTACAGTTTTTCTGTCTAGTTGTGCAATGAAAAAAAGGGAAGTGTTATTCTGAAGTAGATGCAGTCATATCATTTTTCAGATAGATACCTCAAGGATTTCTTCATATTTTTTCACTGTCCTTTTTAGATCATCATCTTTTTCAGCAATTTTTTTATGCAACTGTGTTGTCTCTATGTGATGATTTTCTATCAATTCATTTTCTACATCCTGGGCTTTGCCTATAGAATACAAAAGTCAGGCAATACAAAAAAAAAGTATATTAATTTGTTAAATCATGTCACAACAGTATTAAATAAAGAAAACTGACAAGACAACCTATAAGGAAAACCTGCCAAGCAAATTTGTTTTTCCACATTCAGCCATAATTATGCCACTTGATCCTAGTATGAAATTTGTTGTCTGTAGTTTGGTACCCAGAGCAGTTCTTTCTCTCTGATGCTGGAACTTCTCTCTAAAAGTTAACAGGACAACCAATATTTATCAACTAATTCTATTTCCTGCTCTGTCTAGAGAAGTGATTGAACCATCTGCAAATCTTCAGAAATTCCTCACTTATAGGTGTACTTCAAGTAACTGTGGTGTCAAAAGATACTTCCTGCTCACCGCAACCTCTCAGTGTGATGGCAAAAGATGACAGAGAAGAGGACCTGAAATATGCTGCACTCTGGTTCTAGCAACATGGTATAGCAATCAGAACTCATATATAACATCAGTGTTTACAGTGAATGAAGTCTGCAAGACACAGCTAAGAAAATGCAATTCTGATTCTCAGGTGGATCCAAGCTTCTCTAAAAGGCACCTTTTGGTGTCATATGTTCCACAACGGAGTGTTGAAGGTTTGTACTTCTGAAACCAAAGTAATATTACAATGAAAATTTACCAACGTGCTTTCAACTCTAAAGCCTTACTCTCCTTTTTTTCCTTTGTACATATGACAAAAAGATAGGTACCTATGGCTTTCATGGGTAACCCTTTTGCCATGACAGATGCAAACAGAGGTAGTGCTAGATCAAGGATTCATCCTGCAGGGTAAGGAAGAACAGCTACATATTCATTTTCCTAAATGTGCTACAATTAACATTTATATGTTATTTCCTAAGCAAGAGAAGTTCCTTCTCCGAGTTCTTTAGGCAGCCATAAACCATGTGTTGTCTTTATCAGAGTCCCAGATAAAGCCCTTTCCCCAAAGCACCTGAAGATTTGGTTTTCTGGCTATTTTACTGATTACAGTATTAGTATTGCACTTACTGATAGTCTCTTTTACTGCTGTTTCCAATTCTCTCTCTTTCTGAGCCAGCTGAGTGTTGAACTCTCTCATTAACTGCTTTATGGTGGAGTTGTGCTTTAACTCTATGTCTTCTTGTTCACATCTGTAAAAACGTCAAAGAAATACAGTGAGGAAATAAAATGTTCAAGGAGAGTGTGAGACTCGTATATAAACTACAGTTTAAGCAAGGTAGGAGATCTGGGAATTTCTCCAAAGCAATTTTAGAAACGGATGATTTTTAATGATCTCTCTGTGGGACTCACTGAGGCTTTTTGTTCCCCTCCAATTGAATTCACCCAGAGACACAGGTGTTTCACTTAAAAAACAACCCAGAACTGAACCCTTCCAAAAAATACGGAGTTTTTGCTGAGGAAGATGAACTGAAAGTAAAGACTGTGCCATGTAAAAGCAGCATTTTTAGGGAATTCCTTCCTTGAGAAACCATTAGTGCTGAGCAGTTTAGCAAATTTTTGTGCAGTACCTATGAACAATTCTTGACATCATTTGAACATGAAGCTCTCAGTACTGAGTTTTAATAAACTTTCTTTCTTGTTTGAGGAAAATAGAACTGACCATCACCAAAAAAAATCAAAAGCAGTATTGCTTTGCCAAAAGACAAACGGCTTTTTAAACTGATGACTCAGTGTTTTGTGTGTTCATGAAGTGCTAATTTCAAGTAGCTCTTTTCTTAGTGTTTCTCCAAGTCTATTTAGAGAAATGACAGAAAAATACCGGTTGTTATTTCAGTGTTATAAATTGAGTTTTAAAAAAGTATTCTTCAGGTTTTAGTGGTTAAAGCAGAGAAATGATAACAAGACCAGGAACAAAGAATTTACCTGATTTTCTGCTCCATTTCTTCTAAGGACTCTTTCTTCACTATTTCAAGCTCCTGCTGATGTTCTTTCCGCAGAGCACGTAAGTCTTTTTGAAGATTATTCACTTCCTTGTGTAGTTTCTGTTTCTCCCTTTCAGTCTCTTCCAGTTTAGTCTGCAAGTCCTTCTGCTGGTTCTGCATATCATCTAGTACCTTCTGCAGCTCCAAACCTGACTTTGCTTTCTCTGCATCATTTTCCTCAAAAGCTTTCAGACTATCATTTCTTTCATCCAACTGCTGCTGTAAACTTTTTAGCTTTTCTTCATATCTCAAACTCACATCTTCCACCTCAATCTTACGCACTTCGTTTTCCCTCAATAGGTTATTTTCCAGCTCTTTGATCTTCTGTTCCAAAGACTGACTGACCGCCTCCTTTTCCTGCATTTTTTTCTGGAAATCTCCAACTACTTTCTCCATATCAAGACATTTCTGTTCTTTAGCTTTTAACTCTTCTCTACTGCTTGCTAAATCGCCACCACAATGAGCATACTCATCTGCTAACAATGAGTATTTCTTGGTCTGCTCCTCAAGTTCTTTCTTGAGGCTTTCCGTCCTACTCTGCTCCTCCTGATGGCTCTTCTCAATGCATTCTAGTCTTTTAAGGAGTTCTTCCTGTTTGTTTTGCAGTTCTAGGTAAGAGTCAATACTCTTTTGTTGTTCCTTTTCATACTTCTCCAACAATCCATCTTTTTCAGTTAAGTCCTTGTGTAATATGTGAATTTTCTCTTCATATGTCTGTTTGACACTCTCAAGCATGTTGTTTTTATCTTGTTCTACAGCAGCTTTTACACTCTCTACTTTTTGCAGCATTTCTTTCTCTAACACTGTGGGATCTCTCGTTGACTTAATTGTTAATTCTAAGGACTCAATTTTGGCATCTCTCTCCTGCACTTTTTGCTCCAATTCTCTTAATTGATTTTCTTTATCCTGCTTGAATTGCTGTTCTTTTTCTTCCATCTGAGATATCAATTGCCTTTTAATAGAACCAATTTTTTGCTCTGCCTTCTTTTTCAGATCTGCCAGCTTAGTGCTGTTCTCTGCATTCAGTTTCTCTTCTAATTCTTTCAGTTCTTCCTCTTTGCTTTTAAGTATTGCTGACTTCATTTGATCAAACTCCCTCTCCTTTGATTCAAATTCAGCTTTCAGCAAACCTATTTGCTTCTCAAGATGAAGCACCTTTTCTTCAGCCTCCTTAAATCTATTGTCCTTTTCAAAAGCCACCTTCTCTGCCTGCTGGAGTTGCCAAGCTATCTCTTGTTGCTCCGTGTCTTTTTGTTCATTATACTTTTCAAGTTCCTCCCTCAAGGAATCATTTTCTGAAGTCTTCTGAGCAATGTGTTCTTCTAGCTCAGCAATTCTTGCTGCTTGGTGTTTTATCTCTGCAGTTAATTCACTTTCTTGCTTTCCCCTTCTGTTTTGCTTTTGTTCCAATTCACTTCTTAAACTATCGATATTCTTGCTTTGTTTAGCTAGCTGTTCCTTCAATTTATTGAGCTCTTCATCTTTTTTATTGGCTTCAATATTGCTTAATTCAAGTTTGCTCTGCAAATCTTTAATAGTGTCATGATTTTGTGTAAACTTGGTTTGTGCTTTCGTTTTCCACTCTGACAGCTTGGCTGTGCACTGATCTACCTGGTCAAGAGCCAATGCTTTTTCTTGACCAAGCATCTCAACTCTGGATGATAACTCCTGTACCTGGTTTAACAACCGCAACTGATCCTCTTGATGTTGCTTGCTTAACAGAGACATGGCTGCTTCCTTCTCTGTTAAACTTACAGTGCTTTCCAGTCTAACATTAAGGTCATTAATTGTTTTGTTGAGAGCAGAGATCTCAGATTCTTTTTCCTGGAGTTCCTCCCTCATTGAGGTGACAGCATTGATATTTTCAGACAACTCTTTCTTCAGCTGTGTTATGCAAGTTTCTTTTTCTGATGCTGCTTGCTGCTGATGCCCTCCCTCTTTCTGCAATTGTTCCTTTTCTGTCAAAAGTCCCTCAATGTCAGTTCTCAGGGACATAATTAAACTGTCCTTCTCTTGCAGCTGTTGCATTGACTTCTGCAATGAAGTATTTGCAGCAGAATGATGCTCTGATACTTCTCTAAGTTGAGCTTCTAGTTGAGAAATCTTATTCATTTTAATTAACACTGCTTCTTTAACTTTTGCCACTCGGCGCTCACAATCTGCAAGTTTGCATTTTACCAGGCCAATTTTTTCACTACATTTATCAATTAATTCACTGCTTTTTGTTTGTAATAAAGCTTCAGCATTCTTCCAATAAGCATCTAACTGGGCTGCAAGTTCTCCTGTCTGCCTCTTAAGCTCAGTTTCTTTTAGCTGAATTGCCTCTATCTTTTTCTCATAATTTTCATGATCTTTATACAGAGAAGACTGCATTGTTTGGAGTTTCTCTTCAAGGGTTTTCAGGGTATCAGCCAGCTCGGTAATTCTGGCTTTATCCTGTTCTTCAACTGCTTTCTGTTTATTGAGCTGTTCCTCAAGTCCTGACTGCTCTTTCAAGGACTGATTAAGATCACTCTCCAATTTTTTCAACTGTGTTTTCAGGTCACTTTCCTTATCTGACAAAGCACTCACCTTAGACACTGACTGCCTTAGTTGTTCTTGCAATTCCTTCAGGGACTCTTCCCTTTTCACCTGTTCTTCCTTCAGTTGGGTTATTTCTGTTCTGGAGCTCTCCTCCTCAGCACTGAAGGTTGCAAGCTTCTGTTTTAGGTCTCCAACTTCCTGCTCTTTCTCTTGCAGTTCCATATCATGTTTTTCCTGGAGCTCTTCAACCTGCTGATTGAGTTTTTTTTCCCAACTCTGGGCAATTTCTTCCAGCTCCCTCCTATGAGCCTCAGTGAGAGTCTCCAGTTGCTCTTTCTGATTAGATTCCAGTTTTGACACAGCATCATTGATTCCAGCTGAGCTGGCATGTGCCATTTCCAACATTTTAGCATTGAACTCACTCTCTTTCTGACTGAACTCCAACAGCTTGTTTTCAAGCTCCTTTTTTAGTTTAGCCTCTTGTTCAGCAAGTTTATTTTTGAAAGTTTCCTGCATATCTTTGGATTTCTGTTTAATTTTCTCCATTTTATTCTCCTGACGTTTCAGTTTACTTTCATATTCTCCTTTTAAAGCACCAATTCTATTCTCCATGCCTAACAGTTTCTGTTTAAGCTCTTCCACTTGCTTGTCCTGTAACTTCTTCATGTGTTCAATTTCATTTTCCTTCTCAGTTAGACTTCTTTTCATCTCATCAGCCTCTCTTTGTAGATCCTTCAGTTGACATTCATACTGCTGTGTTAGAGAGGTTAACTTTTGTGTGTTTTCATTGCTTTGCTCTTGCAAATTCTGCTTCAGGTCATGTACCTGAGAGATGTATGCCTCTAACTCATTCTTGACTTCATTCGACTGAGATTGATTTTTTCCTAGCTGCTCACTAAGTTGCAATTTTTCACCTTCAAGATCTGCCAGCTTCTGCTGCAGCTTTGCTAATTCCTCTTCATAAGTCTTTGCTTGCTCATTAGAAGTCCTCTGATGAGACTCTGAAAGCTCCTTTAGCCTTGCAGACACTCGAACAAGTTCAGCTTCAGATCTTTCTGCAGATTCCTTTAGTTTCTGTTCATGTGCTTTTAGTTCCTCCAGATGTCTGTCTTTCTCCTCCAATGATTGCTTGAGTTTGTTGAGTTCCTCTTTGAGTACCTTCTCAACACCTTGAATAGACATTTCATGCTCTTTTAACATCACTTCCACCTCTTCATTGTGCCGTTTCCTCTCTTCTTCCAACTTCCCTTCCAATTCTTGCTTTGCTTCACACACTTTACTATTCAATTCTGAGAGCTCTTGTTCTAAATCATGACGTATTTTTAGTGCTTCTGACAGCTCAGAAGACAGTGCTTCTAGTTCTGTTTGTTTCACATCAAGTTTTTCCAATGTTTTCTCATTCATCTCTTCTATGTGTGCACAGAAAACAGTTTCTTTCTCTTTCAAAATTGTATCTATCTCTTGTTCTTGCTTCTCTCTCATTTTTTCTATTTCAGCTACTTGTTGTTGCTTTAAGATTTGAAGCTTTTCAGTCCAAATTTTTTCCTGCTGCTGTTTCATGTTCTCCATTTCTTTCTTGTGTTTTTCAACCATTTCATTAATTTCCTTACTGTGCTGCTCTTTTTCAGACTCCATCAGAGTACTTAATTCCTCTGATTGCTTTCTGTCATCTTGAGAATACTTTGCAAGTGAGCTTTCCAGTTCAAGAATCCTCTGTTAGAGAACACAGTTTTAAAATAATATGAATATTCAAAAGGTAACACGTTGATTACATTTTTAATAATAACTCACTAGGTTCACATAACTACAAGTCACTTATTTCATTATTTTTGGTGAATGTCAACTTTTAATATAAGGCTTTCATTCAATTTTGTTCTCAACTTTGCTTCATTACGGTGAGTTAGTTATTCAGTAAAAGGTTTTTCTATTTCACTGCAGTGAAAATACATAAAATAGAAAATTGGAAAGAATTTAACTCCTTCCAATAAATAATTCACATTATATTTATGACAGATGTGTTCATCTTTTCATATTAAAATACCAATACATTGGATGAAAGACACTGGGAGACTACACAAGTATTATGGAGCTTTGCACATGGTACGTATCTTAATTCTACCTCTTATGGAAATGCTGCTGTAAAGTTAAAATACTTACACAGGCAAAACTTCCAAACTAATATTTGGAAGTGCTGGAACACAGTGCAAACTTGCATTAGCAGATAATACAATCTCACCCATTACAGAAAGCAAAGCACCCTTCAAAAATATAACCAAATTTTTTACTTACTCAAGTACACTTATAAGTGTTTGCATGGTAGCAATATACAGAAGTTATGAAGTTCAACTGTCTTGTATAACATACATAAAGATTATGTACGGATACAAACTCATATCCCAAGGCAGGATACAAACTGAATATATTTCTATACTTTGTCATCTGATCTTGTAAAAGATTAGGGCCTGCAGCATACCATGGCAATACGTTAAATTTCTGTCACTACCAGAAGCCCAGTGAAATTAAACCAACCCAATCACAATAAATCCACAGTATTTGTAAACCTGTCACAGTTAAATATATATTGAAGGGCATTTTTGTGAACATTTACCCTTTTGGAATGTTTACTCACAGTTCTACAAGTCTCTACTTCTTGATGCATCATCTGAACCTTCTTGTCACACTCTGACTGTATTGCTTTCTTCTGCAGCTCTAATTCTTCCAAGGCTAAGGATTCTTGCTGCTCTTGTTCTTGAAGGGTTTTCAAACACTCACTTTGATTTTTTTCCTGTATCAAAAATTATGATTAAACCAATAAACCCTCAAAACCAGTATAACGTGATATTTACAAACCAGTTAATAATTTTACACTAATAGTTAATGGTCATACACTAATAACCTGTAATTTCTCTGCACACACAGAGTTTCTACTTCATCTGTGAGAACAAAATTGTTATAAATCATTTCCATTTCCTCTTCTTTGGAACCATTTTTTTTTGTGTGAAAAATGTAATGCAATCCATCCTTTCACTTTGGTTTGACACGACTGAGATTAACACCTCAGAGAAAAAAGGCCTGTCCTCACTTGATTCCACTGTTAATATATTTTTAAGCTTCTATTTCTCATAATTAAAAAAATAACCTGAGAAACACAAAGAAAAATATAGTCAGAAAGGGACTGTCAAAGTCCCTCAGTCCCAGTCACACACCATTGTGGAGGAGCACAAAAGAGAATCCACTATTTCTCAGGTAAAATTACATGATGCTCCAAAGTGGATTACAGCTTATGAAAAAGAGCAAAGAATGCAAACAATTTCTCCCAGCCTGACCTAGAAGAAAATTCTTTTCCAAGGTCAAACACTGTAAATAGTCAATTCTGTTCACGTAACACAACACAACCTGACACAGTGATACTGACAGTTTTCAAAGAACAGCCTCATTCTTTGTACCTCTTACTCTAGCTGCTGTGGCTAATTGCCAGTGATCCAGAGGAAGAAATGCAAAAAACCAAAGTAACAAAAAGAGTTTTCAAAATAAGAAGTCTTTCCCACAAGATACAGCTGTTAGTGAGAAGTGACAGTGATTCATTATCATTATTCAGTCTGGATCACTGCAGCTGCTTCCCTTTCATTGGACATCTCTGAGCTCTTTGACCTCTGGAGAACACTTGTATCTTTGAGTGCAGAAGGACTCTTACTGCTGAACAAGGTCACATTAAGACTTCTAGTCCCACCTCACACTTGCAGAGATGTCTCTCTACACATTTTAGGAATACTTACAAGAGCTGCCTTCATCCTCTCCTGGAATGCCTTTTCTTGGGCCTGTAATCTCTCATTTAGCTCCTGTTCTTTGGTAGCCAGCTCTTTTTTATGGAAGTTTTCTAGTTCAGCAACACGGTCCTCTGAAGACTTCTGTGAATCAAAGTCGGAAATAATTTTTTCAAAATTTATTTTGAAAATACATAAATTTCTTTGTATTTATTCTTGATTTGAACCACTTTGTATTATTACTTAATTAAAAAAAGCAGTGCAATAGAGAGAGGAAACCAGAACCACCTCTTTGCTCCCTTTAAATAAGTAACAATCATCTAAAGTGCTTAATATTAAGCCCCAACAGTTCTTATTTTCAAGCTTGAAATTATCCCTCTTCCTTCTCAAGTCCTTCACAGTTCTGTAAGAAACACATTTTCTAAAGACTCTCCTACCAAGATGAACTTAGTGGTTTTGATTTCAGCTCAAATATGATAATAAATTGGAAAAAGAACTTCAATCCACAGCTTTTCCTCTACTCTTGTTATTTCATGAGCCAGAACAGTAAGTGGTGACAGCTATCTACAACCTACATAACACGCTTTAAGGATAATGTGATGCATTCCCCTAAAGCATCAGTGCGTTCTCTCAGAGAAACTAATAACACAAATGTCAAGACAAGAACTGCAATTTAAAGGTGTTCAAATTTACAGGTTGGCAAGGCATGCACACTACTCCTGTGATTCCTACCTGAAAACTCCAGATGAAGCAAATATAAGCAACTCTGAACTAGCAAACAGTTTAGCAACACATTCTTAAACATTTAAGCATATGGGGTTAGGATAATAATGGTGAGTTTTCTATTTTGCTTAAATTAAATCTTTAATCCCACAGATTATTTTTATAGAATTTATTAAATATAAATATACATTAAATATATATTAATAATAATATAACTAAGTATATACTAATATATTTTATGATAATTTAATTGTAATTGAATCATTAGATTAAGAACCAATAATTCAAGGTGAGTTTCAGATTTTACCTTCATAATCTCAACCACCTCTTGTTTCACTCTGGTTAACTCCCGTTGAAGATTTACCCTCTCTTCCTCACTTGCCTTTTCTACAGCTTTGATTTTTTCATCCATTTCTGCCTGCAATTTTTTCCGGGCTTCCTCTGTCTTTTGGGCAATACTCAGAGCCCTCTCAAGTTCTTCAAAAGCTGCAAAGAAAATGAAAAAAGCATATGATAGCTGAGAGATACCTGCCCCTTGACAGAAGAACAGAGTACTCCATAACTGTAAATTATACAAGTAACAGAGGAATGAACTTAAGAATCCATCAAGAATTTGCATAGGTTTATTATCTAGAAAGTGAACTGACAAATGGCTGTCAATGTCTTCCAATACATTCTGTAGCTTCTATTTCTTCCCTAAAATCACGTAAAATACATAAACCACATAAATAAACTATAGCTCCTCTTCCATCTATATGTGCTGAATAACTTGGAAGAAGAAGAAATAAGCTGCATGAAGAAAAGGCAATTCACAATTTGCTCTTACACTAAAACAGCAGACATAAGCATAAACCAAGAATGACTGCTATGCAAGTCAGTTTTTATTGAATCATGAAAGAGTTCTTCCTGAGCAGAACACTGAAGTATAATACCAGGCACTTTATTTACCTCAGAGCTGTTCATTTCAAACTGTACAATCTAGATAATCTTCTCTAAACTACGGGTTTGGTGAAGTCCCTACAGATGGCTTTTCTAATGTCATTATTTCACTATTTACTTATAATGTAAACTACTATCAAAGCAATTCAGGGACACTGGAAAAATGCCTGTGCATTAAGAGTGCTTCTAAACTTTGCAGATAAAATTGAAAAATAAAAATACTAAGATTTCCTCTCAGAAGACTCGAATAGCTAGAAGATGTTTCAAAAGAACTCTCAGGGTGCAGTGATGGAATTCATTTACATCTGCATAAGGTGCACAAATCTGCTGAAACATTTTAATATACAAATTGGAAGCAATAATTCCACAGCTTCTTCCCATGCTAAGGGGTATTCTAACATACTCTTCATAGATGATCATTTAGATATGAAAGGGAAGCAATCAATTCTGGTGCTCTGAACTGTATTATTATTATTATTATTATTCTTTAATACCAGTATCTGAGTTTCTCACTCAAATATTGCCAGAATCAGTACAGAATTACACAAGACCAGAATTTGATCACTCTTATGGAAAACTCTTCTCCTGAATAGGGAAGTGGAAAACCCCTGCTGCATATCAAAGGAAAATTCAGACTTGGAGCAGTCTACTATAGGGTTAATTTTCTTGCATAAAAGAACTTTGGCAAAACACCTCTGTAAAATACACAATCGTGGTGCCAATATCAAGACTGTAATTTATCAGAGGACCAAAAACCTACAAGTATATTCTTCTATTATGCCCTGGACTACTTGAATACTGTTCTGGGAGCAGACAGAACAAAACAATCTTTGAAGTGTAATTTAGTATGCTAAGCTTTCTTCCACTTAATTCTACCCCCAGAAGAAAATCATAGACATACATAAATTGTTTCCTTGATTCACCACCACTTAGCAGTAACTATCTATAATAACATTCAGGCATGAATCTGGGAAGTGAAGAATAATTTCCATTCCACATTTTCTGATAACATTTAAAACTGAAGCTTTTAACCACAATCTGTATTTTTGAGGCAATGCTGCAAATATGTTTTCAAGTAACTTAATTTACAGAATTGCATCCACCCAAATTCCGACCTCATCCAGACTTTTCTTCTGCTTTCCGAGGAAGCCTTTCTCTGACTACTCACAGCAACAATCATAGTTTTGGACAAAACAGGGTTGTTATTGACTCTGGCAATACGAAAGCACATCATAGTATCCACTTTTTCACTCCTGGTTGTACATAAATACTAAAACTCATTACAAAAATATGAAGAGCACTAGAGATTATTTCAAGCAGGAAAACAGTCTAAAACAATGCAAGCATGCACAAGGCTTATAGCTCCTTACTTTCCAAGCACAGTTCTTCACAGTCCCCATCAAGGCACTTGCCACCTGGGACTCACACGACTTGAGTCCTTCCCTCCTGCCAACAGGGACAACTCTGTTATGAACACAGCCTGTGCAACTGCATTTGGAGAATGGCACTGACTTCCCTGATGCTCCTCTCAGCCCTAATAAAAGCCCACTCAGCCAGCAAAACTGGCTAAGTCCTTCAGTACTACAGCACCATAAATGGATTAAAAACCCAAACAACCCTACAGACAAAGTACAGCTTGGAAAGAAAGCCTGTGAGTAAAAGATTAAGTTACTTCACTTTTCCATGTTTTCCAATTCTTGTTCTGAGCAACATACACTTAATTTTTATTCAAGAATCCCGTTACTTCTGCAAAAGGAAACAGAATGCATTTGGCATAGCCCAGGAATCCACCAAAGAGAAGATCTAGGTTCAAACTAGGATTGACTACTGATATGTAATAGCTGAGCAACATGCAGTACGAGAGCTGCACCACTATAATCGCAAGCAGGATGCCAGTACAAAAGCTACACAAAAGCTGATGGATACAACGCCAAGGGGGTATGAAAGCACAGAGAAGCAACACTTCACAGAAACACACTTAGCTCTCTAAAAGTTAAATTATATGCATCTCAGGCACTTCTAGCACTTAAGCAAAACAGAACATTTTTTTCAAAGTAGTTCATTCTAGTGTAGCATGACACAACTGAGTTTCAAAGCAGCAGAAGGTCAGTATCATTATGTAGGCACAACATGGTCTAAATTATCATGATTCTTCTTATTATTTTTAATCTATGGGAGATTTTAATTCTACTGTGGATAAAAACCTGGAATAAAAGTCCATGGCTTTACCCAAATGCATCTATTTTGAATGAAAAGAGTAAAGGCACTGCCTGTGTTCTTCCCAACCAGCAAAGCTACTGTTGAAGGAAAATATTTAACCAAGGTACTGGTTCAGTGAAGTCCCACAACGGCAAATCAGAACCAGTAACAAGCACACCAACAGAGAGTCTCAGGAGAGTCTTGCAAAGTCCCATTCATGTGACCAAACTAGAAACCTTCCTGGGTAGGATATAAATTACACAAAAAAGAGCCTGAGCAGAGTTTAAGAATCACAGAACCACAGAATCAGTGAGACTGGAGAAGACCTTTAAGATCACCAAGTCCAACCATTCCCCAGCACTGCCAAGGCCACCACTAACCCATGTCACTGAGGGCCTCATCTACACGGTGTGTGAACACTTCCAGGGACGGTGACTCCACCACTGCCCTGGGAAGCTTGTTCCAATGCCTAAGCACCCTTTGGGGAAGGAACTGTTGCTCATCTCCATTCGAATCTCTCCTGTTGCAGTTTGAGGCCGTTTCCTCTTGTTCCATCCCTTGTTCCCTGGGAGCAGAGACCAGCCCCCTCCTGGCTCCATCCTCCTGTCAGGCAGTTGTAGAGAGTAGGAAGGTCCCCCTGAGCCTTCTCTACTCCAGACTAACCCCCCACCCGCCCCCCCCCGGTCCCTCAGCCCTTCCCCATCACACCTGTGCTCCAGGCCCCGCACCAGCTCTGTTGCCCTTCTCTGGCCCTGCTCCAGCACGTCAAAGTCTCTTTTGTAGTGAGGGACCCAAAACTGAACGCAGGACTCAAGGTGTGGCCTCACCAGCGCCCAGTACAGGGGGATTAGACTGCCCCAGTAAGGTTGCAGAACTGATTTTTGTAAAACATGTGCTGCTTTACATGCACTACTCTGAAGTGCCGGTCTCAGTTCCCTTCATCTTGCCTCTCCTACTCAGTGTAACACCAGTCGTCATTGCAAAGACTTCTTGCTTACTCTCTGGAGCAGCAAAACATGTTATCTTCAACTATGGTGCCATCTACTGCTAAAAATTGTGAGGAAAGCACTAAACAGGATGGCAAAGGAGGGATTTGTACATTTCACTACTGAAAGCTGGGAGCAGGCATCTTGTCAGTAGTTTGAGAAAGAAAGGTTGAAATTCATTCCCTATAGTTGATTTGTGCATCTAGGCAGGCTTTTAAATGCACAGTCCATGCTTTTTGTTTCTCTGTAGAAAGGTGCCCAGCATATGTTAATTAGCTTGCAAAAGAAACATTGCCTACAAACAGGAAAGTAAAGCAAGATGAATTTGCTTTCTAAGGACTTTTTTGTTTCCTCTATAGAATACACGTCAATAATCTGCATTCTGAGAAGTTAGAAAGCACTTATGCCAAATAGCCTTAGGAGAAACCAACTTCAGTTTATCAGTAAATTTACAAATACTATAAATAGCTTTGTTAAAGTCAAACGTAAATTATCTATGTACACTGCACAGCATTAAAAATCAGTTGCAGTTACTTCGAATGAAAGTGCCTGAGAAGCAAACAATTTACTTTTTAGAGCCCAGTTCAAGCACCCAATGTGTGATGTAAAAAAAGAGAGCCCTTACCCCAGTCCTGTTCATACAAGGCTTGGGAAAGGCACCATGATTCACTTATTGGCATGTGTGGATGCACAAAAACAAGATGCTCTGTGAGATTTCAACATAATGTACCTCTAACTACAAAGAAAATGAATTTCAACTGGGGAGACCAAGTTACAGTTTACACAACACACACAAAATAAGCGTAAGTATCTTTCCACTATTTCAGTGCACAAAGATGCAGTAACATTGAATCAAACACTGCAACATTTCACTAAAGTCACTCAGTTACAAAGAAAAAAAGCCACACATGTAACTATAGGCAAGTTAAAAACATGAAATGGAAAAAAATATACCACTTTTTAGCCTACAATATAGCACTATGAAAATAAATGAAGCAGACTATTTTTCCATAACTTAAATGAAAATAACATCTCTACAAATACAATATTCCATGAAGCCAATTCCTCACTAAATCATGACAGAAAAAGAGAAGTCTAGAATTTAAAGGCAACTCACATTAACTGCCCAAGAAACAGAACTTTAAACACACTGACCTCAAATAGATGAAACTGAATTCTTAAAACTGGTACAACTCAAAGGTTGTGACCTAGAGGAAATTCCAGGCTCTCCCAGTATTGACAGTGGTCTTCTCAAATGCCTGAACAATTTACTTCAAGTGTATTGAACTACACTTCCATTACACATCACAACATTTTTGGCACATGTAAAGCCAAGGAAGTAATAGGAAAATCTAACAAAGGCCACCTCAAAATTCTGCTTACCTTTGAGGTAGTATTAGCCAATTTTCCAAGGATTCTAACATTTATAAATGCATGCTTAATAGAGTACACAAATACACCTGAAAGTAAAGTGGATGCTTATGCACCATAAAAATTAACAGAAGTACTTTAAATTTTTACTTATGAGAGAGCATATTTAACACACAAATCTCCCTCTAGGAAAGTGCAGTGTACTCAACACATTAGTTGTAAGTGAAATTACTTCTCACTACCACAGTTAAGTTTTCCAGGTATCCAGAGCACCATCTGTTACCTATTTTCAGCTTCTGGGTATGCAAACCTGAAGAAATTACTGTATTAACCAGAGCATGTAGATATTAGTTCACAATTAAGAGGTTTCCACTGCATAAAAAAATGCAGTGTTTCAAACAACTATAACTTTGTATCTACAAATTTATTAAAATATTCTTCAGCTTTTTTTCTTCTATTATGAATAGAAGCTTCCTAGTCTCCAAGAATTGAAAAAAATCCAACTCTTTCAGGACCGACTTACTGTTGAAATATGAATTTCCAGAGTTAAAAGATACATGTACCCTGAAAAAGGTAGAAGAGGAGGACACCTAATCAAAATGTTTGTTACTTTCACAAGATGGATGTTCAAGCTGCTTTTCTGTATTACAGCAGAATGATCTACCCAATCTTTAAAACTGGAAGGTTTGATCTAAATCCTGTGAACTGTATTGTTTGACTTTCTCATCACTTTTTAGAGAAAGAAAATATGCATAATGTTTTATATCAACTAACTGCATCTGAGCTTCTGCCAAAAGAGTGAACGCCTTGATACACCTATGAGAGGAAACCGAATTTTCTTTATTAATTTTGAAACAGTGCAAAATGATTTCACTGTTTAAAAAACAAAGGTGGAGTGGATTGATCTTTCAACTTCATTTCAAGCAAAAGGAGAACTCCAAGCCCACATAATTAATGTTACCTAATTTCCATCAAAAGCAAACTACAGCATGTAATAGTTACACAGCCACTGGGTTCTAAGCCTGAAGAGAAAGGAACCATCACTGCTGTTTCACTAAAGAGAAATCAGAAATGCTTCTGCTACAATTATTGAAAGAAAATGGTTATTATGGCTGTAGCACATCCTCTTCTTTCTACGCCTTCCCAAGCTCTTACACACTCACTGCTGTTTTCTATGTAAAATAGTGGTAGCACATACAATAACTTGTAGATAGTTGCAAATTTCCCTCCTGAAGTCATACCAGCAAAAATTCTCTCAATCTTTTCTCCTACAAACAGGAAGGTACAGCTGCCCTTCAGGAGATTCCTTCCTAACTCCACGTGAATAAGAGACAAACCAGCCAAAAACACCCCTAAACTCTGCTGACCAAAAGTGAAGTTAGTAATGATGCTAGCAGAGGTGCAATGTGGAACATGAGGAAGAAAATCATCTCTTAATATCCATTCCAAACAACTGTCCAAAGAGTGCAGAAAGACCACACTGAAGCTTTTTCATGTTTAAATGTGAAAGCTAATAATCCCCAGAATTTCTTACCAGCTTTTTCAGATTTTTCTTTCTGTTCTTTTAATTCCTCGCCTTTTGTAGTCATTTGTTTGATCCGAGCACGCAGTTGGGCTATCTCCTCCTCCTTCAATTCCAGTGTTTCATGCATTTGTCGCTTTGTCTCTGCAATTACCATGCCCTAAGGAAAAGGTCCTTGTGATAAAAAGCTAGCAAACAAATAAAACATATAGCTGAAACAATTTCAAGCCAGGACACAATCCTTGACAGGAATAGACTTTAGTCTATTACTACAAGACCAGAGATCACGACATTTTTCCATGTCAGGAAACAGAAAACGCTAACGAAGAAAAAAGGTGAGAATACAGGATGATTTTGAAGAGTAGCCAAATTTTATCTAGTGGTGAAAAAAACTCATCCAGCCACTAAAGACCATGAGAAAACTTCCTAGTTCTGGTCCAGATACTTTTATTGGAAATATGCATAATGTTAACAAACCAAAACTAAAAGCATTGTAGAGTGCACGCTTCTCCTTAGATAACATGCACATACAAAATGAGCGTCGGTCTCGCTACTTATTATACCACCAAAAGTTACTTCAAGTACCAAGACTGTGATAAAAAAAAAATTAAGGAACAAAAAAACCCAAACCACTTCATATCCCTGAGAAACTACAGTTACTTTTCCTTCATTGGTAGCTTTTAAGTTAATTTATATTGTATCTCATCTTAGTCAGTGTTTGGGAGTGGTGGTGGAGTTCGGCTCATTTTGTTGTTTGTTAAAGCTGGTATTAAGGAGTGTATTCAGTGTAACTGCTCCATCCTGAATAGCATAATCTTATAATATTTATACCCTAATAGACAAATACCCTATAGCATCTATACAATAAAATTCTCAGGTAGCTTGTATTATTTGCTGGCTAAAACATAAACCAAGCCACATCAGATGACTAAGAAAAGCTTCTAATACCAAGAAGACAAGAGTTTTACAAAATCTTCTTCAAAAACTACAGAGTTTAAGAAGCTTTTTTACCTTGTCTTGTTCTAGCTGCTCAATCAAATTCTTTGCATCACGCAGCTGAGTAATCAGTTTAGTCTTCTCAGCCATCTGAAGGTCCTAAAACACAAACCCCAGGCACAAATTTAAAGCACTGCCACAGGTAAGAAAACACCTTCTTCTGGCAATCAGGTTAGGTTTGGCTCTTAAACTTGCATTATGCATTGGAGGAAGAACACAGAACAGAACCCACGGAAAGTAGGTAGCTTTAACTTACTTTTAAGGCTGCCTCATGGTCTCCATAATAAATCAAATATCTGAAGGCTTTGTTTCAGCCTCCACAGTTCTCTCATGGATGTCAGAACAGCTACAGTAAAACTGGCAAGAAACATGCCTTAGGCACCTGCTCTATTACCTGCATCTCAGTAGGGTCTCAGCAATACAACATAATTGGTCATTAATGGTTCTGGAAAAGATCCTTAAAATACTCGAGTCCTTCAGAGCAATTTCAAACAGGGCTGGTGCTCAGAGACTGAGAAGGGAATCTGATCTCTAGCACTGAGGTTGAGCACAGCTATACTTATCACATTTTCACATCCCATTACTATCAGCAATTTAATTTTACTCCACACTTGGCATTAGTGGTCTTAAAAGGAAAAATAAGCAAAATACTAATTTAGCTTTATGACTCCACTTATGCTATCTTCACTATATTGTGCTCTCCATTGTCCTGCCTTTCTGTGTTTTCTGTTCATTTACGTAACTTACGCCTCTTCAACTATGTCTTAAAGGTTTAGCTCTGCTCTACTGTTCTCACTTTACCTCTTGTCTTTTGTGCTGGCAGTCTTTTCCTCACCCCATTTTCCCACAGTTACTTTATTTCTGATACCTTTTTGAAGGATATTCAAAGAGTAAGGTTCCTTACCTTTCTCCAAGCAATTTAAGGGTCTTCTTTATTAACAGATTCTGGAAATACTGGAGTTCTTGCTCTGTTTTACTAGCTACCCATACAGTTCAGAGCATTTTCCATACCTTCATTTTCTCCAGTTCCTGAAGCCTCTCTTCTAACTGTTCCTGAAGTGCCTCCTTCTCGTTGGTTAACTGGGCGCAGCGCTCCTTATGAGACCGAATCATCTCCTTACAACGCTGCAGCAAGTTCTCTTGGCGCTTCACCCTCTGATGAAGAGTTTCCAGTGTTTTAACAGAATCTCCACTACCCCCTATTAGACAACATATAAACATTATCACATGCACGTACTGTTTCCAAAATGTAGATCTGCATTCGTCATTCACATTGCAGGCAACCCACAGGGCTCTGAAGAAAGTTGCGCAAAGTCTGCAAAACTTCCTAGTGACTACTGTAACTACCAGAAACATGCTACACATACACAGAATAGTAAATACAGTCTTTCACCCAATATTAATTTACAAAGGTCAGATATCATACAAGCTTCGAAACCAAACTATTATTCAACAAAGTTTTCTACACAATTGAAAAACCATGATTTATAAATCTGTCTGCTGCTACTAACAGAAAATTCACTGGCAGGAAAAACATAAATCAAATCAAATCACACATCTCTCAAGTGCCCAGCACACTGATTCCTGCTTTCCCAGGGCTGGGTATGATGTTAACTCTAAAATATCCAGATTGACAATACTACGTTCTGCAGGTTAATGGTCATGTTTAGTGAGCTGTACTCCTCTCTGTATACCTAGCACACTGGATAATATTTTACTGTGTGTTCTGGAGGCTGTAAGAGTACTTGGCATGAAAATAGGGTCAAACAAATTTAAAGGTTTAATTCACAGCCATAAGTCTTACACATTATAGTCCTGAAGCAGACTCCAGTATAGGAAACATCTTAAATCTTGATTCTTAGGGACTGGTTACTTACTTTTTTCCTAAACACTACAAAAGGCATGATGCTAGATAAGAAAATCTCTGATCTTACCATTCATATGATCCTCATACACACAAAAATCTAGCAGATGCTGAAAAAAGACCATTTTGAGATGCATGTTCACCTCTGTCTGAACCCCACCTTTTATGAAAAATACCAACAAATAACCCTTTCATTATATGTCACCATTAGAATATTGCTTACTCAGTAATCAAACAATACTGGAAGCATCTTAGAATCTCAGAAGAGTTATCCTGTCCTCTAGCTGCCATACTGCTATCAAAACAACTTTCTGCTAGAAAGTGCATCCTTCCTATGATATATTCAACCCTAAGTACTGTTACTCCACCCTAAGAAACAGCAGGCTTATTCCCCAAAATTCAAGATCTCCTAAAAAAGCTGCAACACCTACCGTTGCTTCCAGGATCCACAAAATTTTCTACACTGATTTCTCTTGTTGGACTTTCCCCTTGTGGTTCAGACTGAATATTTGGATCAGGCAATTCAGTACTTATCTGACCATTCTGTAACCTCTGCTTCAACAATGATACCTAAAAAGAAAAAAATAAATGTTCTTTTTATTAAGACGTCTAAGCAGATCATGTTTTCACCTCCAAAACTAGAATTAAAGTGATATCAGTAAGCAAAGAAAGGAAAAAAATCTGTTTGATTTTTTTTAGAAATTTTTTTAGCAGAATCGTATTTCTAATTAACAAAAATAGTACCATCAGAAGTGGGAAAAAAAAAAAAGACCAATTAAGCAAAATACACAGGTTTTGCCAAAGCAATTTTAGCTCAAGTATGTGCTAATATTATGTTCTTGGTAACAAAGACATAACAAAGACATCAAATGTAAATCAAACAATCATAGTGAACATGAATAAGATTTTACAAAGGTATCCCCTACCACAAAGATGAACATAATTTCTAGATAATCCTAAATTCTCAAGAAGCTTTACAATGTCAGAGCAATTATAATAAACTGTGGACATGCATTATAGGAAATACATTATTAAAAAAGTAGCAAGAGCAGTTTTAAAGAATATCTGTTGGGTAAGGTACCTTACCTGAGTTTGCAGGACACTAATAAGTTGGTCCTTTTCTTCTAAGGAAGCATCAAATTCCTCTTGGAGATGTTTCTTAGCTTGTTGATCCATCTGGAGCTCCTGAGAATCGTAAATACAGGCATCTCAAATGAAAACTTCAATGTGAATTTAAAAGGCTTCTCAAAATATTATGAAACAGCATTAAAAATATCTCTTCGCAGTCGTGACCCCAGAATGCAACCATGAAGTGGGTGTTTCTTTTACTAAACAATATTCCACACAACATAATACCATTCTAATACTAACATTAAACTAGATTTGATGCAAAATTATCAAGGGTTTTTTCTTCCTAGAAGTAAGTTTCTCTAGGGATCACTTCAAGACTGCTCTTGAAAACTGTTTTCCACGCACACATTTCTCCTGGAAGTTGGAAGACTGTACTTTGGTGAACCAGATTCTTCATTTAAGTACCAAATGAAGTCAACATAAACAAGCAGAAACTTAAATTTCTCTTATGCTCATTCAATATGCTAGCAGTCTAATATAATAAATGCCATTTATAACAGCAGAAAGTTGGCTTTTTTATTCCTGAAACATGTCTCAAATGAGAAAGCAAGAGAACACCCAAGAACTATGTGCCTTATTTGATACTTAATTGCAGTCATTTAGCTGAACACCTTTAGAAGCTTGTTGCTGTTCCCTAAATCCATTAGTAGGATCTACATGATCTTACAAAATACTGTCTAAGGGAGATTTATCTACTTCCTAAGCTTTTAAAGTTGAAATATTTAAATTTCTTTAAATAATTACTGTTCTAATAGAAATCCATGTATTTAAAGTTAAATTAATTCACAACTGCTTATTGTGAGAATCAGAACCATGCACATTTCATGCATGCAGTGCAAATAATTTTCCAAACTTGTATGTTAATTTTTATGTATTCACTTCATCTATACATATCTTCCTGGTGTTTTTCCCCAGGGAACTAATGCTTCTATGACCATTGTTCTGCAAAGATACGTGTATAAAAGCAAGCACCACCCATAAACATGGCAGAACCGTGCTGGAAGGTGTCACTGGGAAAACTATGCCTCTCTCTTTCATATATCCACTTTTTAAGCCTGCACTGCCTCAGGTTGTCAACAACTCTGATCACACTTCTGCCTTGTGCTTCTGGGCTTTAGAAGCAACTCCTTCCAAGCAAACCAAAGCAGCTCAGTGCAAGAATAAGTGTCAAAGATTTACTGAAACCAACATAGGAATAGTCTCTTTGGATCCCAAAGTCCCGTTTGATCCTTGTCTAAGAACACTGAAGACTGCTTGAAGACTGCTGTTGAGTAATTACTCTTAACAGAAGAAAACTAGCAAAAGACACATTGATTTCCACAGACTATTGCACACTGTCACCTTGGCTTCAAAGGAGATAGCTTGTATTTACATGACCGTCTTAAAAGAAATTTGTCCAACTCAACATATTTATTGGGAAAAAGGGCCATATGATGAAGAAAAGGATTCTTTTACTTAATTTCTTATTACAAATTACATCAATGAATGATCTACTTCGTAACATTTTAGCTTCCGCAATGCAGATGTACTGTTTTACTTGTAATTTCTCTTTTAAGTATGTCTTACCTAATGCCATATAACATGTGGGCTTCTGAAAGACCAAAATAATCTGCATTTTGAAGTTTTTCAGTTAATAAAAAAAAAATTGAGTGTAAGATTTGAAGGAATCTTTAAATTTACAAGATCTGCAACAATGACATTAAATTTTACACCAAAGATAAATATATAGAGATATAAATTGGAAATACGTGAATCACAAAGACTATGACGTTATGCATGCATCCAACTCTTTCATAATTGAAAGCTTTAAGTCTGGTGTATATATATATGCCTTACAAACTTTACCAATAGGCACCAGTAAGCTGGAAAAATAAACATACTGGAACATGTGGATATAGACTTAACACAGAATGAGCTTCTTCCATTTGATCTTGTGGTGAACTGGGAAAATAAACCACATTGACAAGCCACTCCCACCAGTAATGCTGTTTGCTTTACCCTCCCATAGGCTGTTAGGCCAGCTTAGGAATACAGGCTGGGTGCAGGCTCTGGCTCAGATGAGCCTGGCACACCCAGCACTCTGCCCCACTGTTCTCAGCTACTGCAAAAGAAGCAGACCTCGCCATGGTCTGATGGTTCTTGCAACCTCCACACCAGCACTGCTGCTCAGCAGGGCACATGCCAAAACCAGAAGTGCAGCCACAAAAAAAGCCTGTGGCTTTGAGCAAGTTGGCACCCAGCTCCCAAGCAAGTCAAGAGCATGGACAGAGAAGCTCTCCCATGCCCATCTCCGAACCTGATGCTGCACTGCAAAATGGCTTCAGCTTCATAATCTGCTTTACCAGGGCTTGACAATACAGCTTTGGTGAAATTGCCTTATTAATTTTCTCTGCCCAATAATCTGTACATATCTTTAATTAAGACCAATGTGTTTATTATCAATACTTCTTTTATTTTCACTATAACCTAAGGAGACAATAATCATAACTATACTACATATCCATAAACCCAATGTCAACAGAGATCAAGATGAGTATCTTTTAATTTTATCCTAATTTTTTCATCCATACTCATTAAAATCTTTATTAAAAAGTGCCTATTACTTGGGATTGCCTAACATTAGTACTTCTCAATACTATAAAGAACAGCAAATTGCACAGGTACATCTATTGCTGGACCCAACAATACTTCAAGAACCACACACATTTCTACCTATTTCACAAGGAACAGAAAGCAGTTTCATGGGTACAATGAACTGCTCTGTCTTAGAGCAAATAATAAGCTGCTGAATGGGAAACAAGCCAGAGAAATAACCCTATATAAACAAATGATGAAAGCAAGCAGTAAAAAACCCCTGCTGTGTGAAAGAAAATATTTTGTAAAGTGAACATAAACACCAAAAGCTAGACAGAGAAAGATCCTATGTATGGGTAGTAATGAAGTAAATAATCAGTAAAGGAAATTACCTCTCTCAGTTCTCCAATTCTGCGAAGTGCTTTGTCCTGAGTTTGACTCAGGACACCCTTAAAAAAAGGAAGAACAAACATCAGGTGTATGAAATGTAACTTTCTATAAAGTATGTATAAATTCACAGAATCGTATTTCAGCAGAAGAATTAATAACCTGTATTTCTCTTTCAAGTCAAGCTTGATGTGTAAGTATTATCATAAACTGCCAACTGTGGGCTGGCAATCTATCACTTGAATGCAGCTGATGCAATAAGAAAGGCTGGGTACAATAGCTTCACAGTTGTTTACACAAATCAATATTAACTTTGCTTCCTTAGAAATCCCAACAAGAAAGTCTTGTTACACACAAACATATATACACAACCTATTGTGTAAACACACACAATGCACTGAAAATTAATTCTCTATTTGCACTACACATTTTAAGAGTCAGAAAAGCATTCAGGTAAGAGGATGAAAAGTAATGCTTACCTGTAGCTTCTTCTTCTCCCGCTGGATAACTTGATAAGCAGATACTAGCTAAAATACAGAAATCAGGTATAATGATGAATGCATCTGCTTAAGCTATCAAAATAATCTGCTATAGCCATCTGCATTTTCAAACTCTTGACCTGAGACAGCTCTTCTGACAGAAACCTATTTAGATGCTCTCAATGTTTTTTTTTTTCCATTTATAAAATATCTCCTACATACAAACCCTTGAGGTTACTCACCATCCATGTACAGTTTTCCCTTCACTGAAAAGACCTGCAAGACCAACCATGCTTCAATACAGGCAGTTGAAACCCAACTGAATCACAAGGTTACATCCCAACCAGCCACCCCCCGGGGATGTACATTTGTAAGGGTACATGTCCCAGAGAGCTTAAGTAAAGCTAATTTTACAATGAGTATGCATTAAAAAAATACACTTACAAATCTAGCAAAACAAGGTCCATGTAATACTGAATAGTCTCATCCCATGTGCTTTGCATAGACCCAGCAGACAAAAAAAGACTGGAAGTGGGCACCATTTCTCATTGTAAGCCGATAAAAGAGCTTAATGAGTAACTGCACAATTTAGTTTAATTAAAAATTTGACCACAATTGCCTAAGCTGTCCAAAGCTGAAGTAGCAAACTGGCACCTGGAACTGGAATATTCCATTTTCTAACTGCTGAAAAATTAAAGGAAAACTAATCCAAAACAGCAAAACCAGAACTCTTTTAAGGCAAAAGATACCTTCGAATTCTTACTTAAATAGGCTTTTTCAAGAATTCAAAATTAGTTTTAATTTCAAAGTTGTACTTATTTTGCACTTAAAAGAAAACTATAACTACTCTGGATGATTTTCCTCACCAATTTTTTGAGACGCTAACTTTGTATCCTATTTCAAGAAAGGGAAAAATATAATTGTGTCTTATCATTATATATTTAAGCTACTTTCTTCCAAGCTCCAGCAAAGCAATTCTTTCCGACTGAAGAAACTAACAAAAATAGAATGAAAACCCCAAGCCTTTTTGATGGAGAAAATTAAGAGTTGCTGGAGAGATTGCACGGAAAAAAAAAAACCAAACACAATCAAAAACCCACCCCAAACCAAACCTATAAATTGATGAGTTTTCATTTTAGCAATGCTTTTTATGTAACCTTTTTAAAACTATATCTTATTATACTATCTGGAAACGAATGACAAATTAACGACAACAAGTACGGAATGACAAGTATGGAAGACAACTGCTTTTTTTCAGGCATATGCTGAATACCGTACTTGCTGTATACATGGTTTAGGTTACAGGGATTTTGACACTAATAGCCAAATATCTGTACAGGAATTACTGTATTTGAAGACAGCAAACATTTGAAGAACTGTAAAAAACAGGGCAAATTTCCAGCTTTAATTACAACACACATTTGAAACCAAAACAAAAATCCAGCACCACCACTTGGAAAACTTTTCCCAACAAGTTGTAAAATCAGTAGCAAAGCTACTTATATATTGGTTTTCACTAAAATGGCAAAAGAAATAGTCCTTGAATTAATTCCTTCCAGGGAATACCTGGAAATTATAGTGAACAGAATGTATTCATTGTAAACAAAATGCTTGCCAATCACATGTGCATGGAATATGTACTGTTCACTTCAAGTTTCAGCAGAAAAGTGCATTTGCTGTCATGCAAGTACAAGCTATGCTCACCTCTGCACTGAACTCTATCCCTTGCTATGAGCTTTCAGCAGAAACCTTCACAGGCCTACTTTGCGTGAGTAACCACTAACCAATCTCTATTGCTGACAGTGTGACATTATTTACAAACAGAAAAGGATTTCCATGTTTTATTACCAGAAAAACATTTTGACCAATACAGACCAAAAATAACCACACTTAGAATAATAATTTGATTTTTATGTTAGTTGTAAGTTGATCCATTTGCTCCACATAAGAAAACAGAAAGATTATCCAGTACTGCAACATGTTAGTCTCACTTTTCCCCCTCTCTGCCCAGGTAAGCCAGCCATTGCCTACCTCTGAGTACTTTCCCCTGTAGTTGCCCAAGCTGCGTTCCATCCTGCGCAGTCGCTGAAGCAGCTGCTCTTTGCTGAGGCTGTCCATTTTTCCCAGAGGCTCCTCTGGCTCACTTTCAATGTCAGAAGGTGGATCAAAGGTGGGACCAGCTGCGTCCAAGTCCAGTCGATTCAAGAAGTCTCTTGAAGAAGCTCGTACCAGGGACTCCTTAGAAGAAGAGCGGAACAGGGACTCTTTTATTGGGCTTTGAAACAAAGACTCCATGGAGGGAACTCGGAGCTGAAGCCTCCGGGTGAAAGACTGAGTGTCACTTAGCTGCAAAAAATCAAAGCAAGTAATTCTGCACTGCTTTTAGGCAGACAAACACAGTAAAGTCCAGGAAACAGAGACCTGACCTGGGCAAAGGAACACATGCATGACACCAAATAACTACCGCTCCCTTGGAAGAAGCATCAACTTCTGTAGAAAAATCAATCATGCAACTACCAGATATGGGCAATTTCAGAGAGCAACTAAAGCCAATAATTTACAGATCTGATTTAAATATGCATCTGTGTAACTCCTTTAAAAAGAAATGTAAACTCAAACAAATAGTTCCGTTTATTGTTGTCCCAAATTTATAAAAAATAGTTGTGACTCATTTATTGCCATGTTAAACAGAAGACTGTGTTTATCTCAAAGACACAAAAATATCTTCCTATGATTAAAAGAACAGATTTATTGTAAAAGTCCTTGTGTAACAGCTCTAGCATGCACTCTTACACCCTCCTTTTCTTATTTTATTTTAAATGGCTTTACAGTTTCTACACAAAATACAATTATTGATTCTTGCAGCTGCAGTACTTAATGCTGTTCTAAATCAAAAGGTTCTGTGCTATGGTACTGTATACTGCTAGCACTACAGAAGTGATTTGAAAGCATTACTGCACAATGTCGCTCCCACAACCAAGTGTTGGGACACACGTGGTAGAAGCCACTGCTAATCCCACTCCAGCAAGCTGAATATTTACAAGAGATACTGAAGAATGACTTCTACCTTGATCATTAGTAATGATTCTTTCTTAAGCCTACCATTTATTTTCTTTCCCTTCAGCTAGAAATTAACTTTCTACTGATGCAATATGCCCCCAGTTTGGAAAGTGAGATTAACACTCTGTATCCTGTGCTGGCTGGATTCATGAGCAGAGACACACTGTCAGATACCGCTAACCCTTCCCTGCAAGAAAAAAGCTCCGCACATCAACAACACTTAATACCAACTAACGGGATTACACACACAAAAAAAAAACCCTTAGTATCCCTTTGTATATTACAATACTTGCCCTTAGTACCCTGACATGCAAGTATTTATCATCCCTGCTTCAGCACGAACATATATACTGGGCACTTAAAGCAACATACCACAAAGACAACACGGCAGTGAAGAAGATAACCACCCCCCTATATCCTCCACATACCTGCGGAGAGGCTGATCCACTTCCATTGTTTTCTTTGTACCCAAGAAGTGGATCTCTACTGGAGTTCTACAGGAGGAAAAACAACTGTTAAAAGGAAGAGACTACAAGGACTGTAATTCACGAATTCCTACAAACAGCATCTGCGCTTTTTCCTTGCCTGTGTTTTTAGTACTTTCTTTTCAACATTTATTAAAATGTCTTCATGCAAACAAGCTAGTTTGTTAAATTCAAAACAGATTGCTGCAATATACAGAACTACAAAGCAGCTATGTGTGCATGGATTAGTACGAGACATCTGCGAAGGCTGACATCTCCAATTAAATTATTCATAATGATTATTTATGTAACATTTAAGCACAAATCAAAGAAATACCCAAAAGACAAAATGATAGCAGGAAAAAAATCTAATTGATGACTAGTGTTGCTTATAGCCAACATGATTAACAGTGGAATCACATGTTTAAGTCCACTGGGGAGGATGGAGGGTACAAACTACCGGGAAAAAGGTGCTGGTAACAGGCTGTTTAAGACTTTAAATAAGCACAGGCAGAAAATTCAGACTTAAAGAAAAGAAATATCCTGTGCAACACTTCACATGTACATTCCTCTGCACTCCCAAAGAAGGAAAAAACAAAAAAATCCCACTCAAACCAACACAATAGAAAACAATAGCTTTGGTTGGATTTTTTTAAAACAGAGTTCAGAGATTTCTGTTCCTAATCTGTCTCTTCTGCTTTTCCTATGTCCTGTGTTCAGGTGTTTTCTAACCTGTACAAATCCACATGGTCTTCTGGTGTTTAAACCAGGTTGACCTGAAATAGCAAAACATGCCAGAAAACATCTTGGATATGATTTTCTTCCAAGAGAAGCAAAGCACTGAGATATATCGAACAAAGCAGAGGAGGAATTCAGCTAAAAACAATGTAACTTATTTTTCAATCAATATGGAACCTGACAGTTATATGCAAAGGTGTATACACAAAATATGAATCGTAATTGTCCATGTATGTATCTGCTACACAATTACACCCACAGCTTCTGCTCTCTGTGGACACACAGGTAAGCATCCATAAGCATAAATGTAGAAGAGGAATGATTCAGTGTAAAAGGGCTTCAGAAAGGTGTGACATGGAGCACACTTCATGAAATCGCAGTAGAAAGAGAAATCCAGACAGTGAAGGCAGGCAGGGAAATAAGCAGTCACCCAGGCAAAGAGTAATAACCAGCCATACAAGAACTCTGCTTGGGTTTGAAATCGTGCTTCAGCTGGCTTGAACAAAATCTGCATTCTGCTTCAGAGCACCATCCTGCTGAGTGGATTTATTCCTCGTGGATTAAGAGCTCTTACTAGGTTTTAGACTAAAGCCCTCCTACATTTTATTCTCAGTTCCAATACCTGTTCATTTCTCATTTCCTAACTGGAAGGTTAATAATAAGGATAATCCAAATAAAAATTTATCTTCTGCTTTATAGTTTACAAAGCATCTACCATGCTAGTGCTGGACTGACAACAGAGGAAGAAAAATACCAAGATTTACAAACTAACTACACACACTTCTTTCAAAAATCATATATTCTGATACCCACAGAAAGTACTAAAGGAAACTATTGAAGGTTTATACCTCTAATTCAGAAGAATAATTTAATAATACTTAAGATATATTTTAAAATACAAGATTAAGTGGGTTTATTAAACCTAATAAGGTGTTTATGAAAACCATGGATGCTGTTCTTTTCTGTTAAGATCCTTAAAAAGCTGCCATTTCAGGATCTATGAAGAACCCTAAAAAAAATACCATTTAAAAACTAAAACTAAAATCACCACTTTTAAAATTTTCCTATTCTTTGCATTCAATCTCTGTGAATAAAAATAGAGCCTATGTTGGGGATTAGACTTTCTATTGTCATAAATCATAAAAGGGATACACTGGTAATCTTTCATATAAAAACTGGACTAGTACAAGTATCTAGCTGCTACAATTCTAAATCACTGTGCTGCGACTTAGGGCCTTAAGGCAAAGGATCATATTCTGGTGTCCAAACTGTGAAGGGTAAGCACAAAGGGAAGTTGCTACATGTAAGCATGGATTCAAGAGGCTTTGAAGAGCTTAAAACCTTTCATAAACCTTAAGAGCTGTTTCAGCAAAACTAGAATCTCAGAGCACAGGCTAGTGCTTTGAAAGTCTTAAACTCAGCAGAGTTACATCAGGGTTTCTGTAAACCAACAGAAGTCTGTTTTCCACAAACCCACAAAACATCCACCACTAATATCTGATCTGGAAGATGGGATCAAGTAAACTCTGATGGAGTTTGCCACCGGACTTCAAGAATGACACTAAACTGAGTGGGGAAGTGGACATTTTGGAAGGGAAAGCCACCGTGCAGGAAGACCTGGACAGGCTGGAAGAGTGGGCTAGTAAGAACATTATAAAGCTCAACAAAGACAAGTGTAAGGTCTTGCACCTGGGTAAACACAGCCGAAGACTGCAGCGCATGTCAGAATATACTTAGCATCTCTGTGGAAAGGGACCTGGGGGTCCTGCTGGACAACAAGCTCAATGTAAGTGAACAGCATACAGCTGTGATAAAGCCAATAGGATGCCAGGTTACATCAACAAGGGCATGGCCAGCAGAGATAAAGTCATTATCCCACTCTTGCTTGGGCTTGTCAGGCCACGCCTGGAATACTGTGTTCAGTTTTGGTCCCTGCTATGCAAAAAGATGAGGACAGGCTGGAGACAGTCCAAAGAAGGGCCACAAAGATGATCCAGGGAGTGAGAAGCTGTGTGAGGAAAGGCTGAGAGAGATGGTTTTGCAGTCCAGAGACAGTCCAGAGAAGGGCCACAAAGATGATCCAGGGAGTGAGAAGCTGTGTGAGGAAACGCTGAGAGAGATGGTTTTGCTTGGCCTCGAGAAAAGAAGGCTCAGGGGAGACTTGATCACCATGTTCTCCCGGGAAGATTCCAACTGGATGCAAGAAGAAAACTCTTCACAATGAGAACAGTCAGTCACTGGAATAATCTCCCCAAGGAAGCAGTGGATTCTCCAATACTGGATACTTCTAATATTCAAATGGACAGGATGCTGGGACAACTTGTCTAGACTGTACTTTTGCCAAGAAAGGTTGGACCAGATGACCCTTCAGGTCCCTTCCAACCTGGCACTCTATGATTCTATGATCCTCACATTGCCAACATTTTATGTACATTTTAAGTACAAAAGTCCAAAACCACTTTTCAGCCCTCAGAACTGAACGTCCTTTGCTAAGATCAAGAAGATCAAGTATTATAATCCCATTTTTTCCCCAATCTTTCAGTCTGCATATTCTCTAAAAGCCCTTTTTAAGTAGGTTCGCTCAACTTGTGCTTCCTTAATTCCCTATTTCTGAAATGCAAGCTAATTCAACTTATTTATTTCTCAAAGGTATAAATAGATTCGTAAGTCTAAAGAGTGAAAGCTTAGAAGTCTGCATTTAAAAACAAAATGTTTAAAACTGTTCTCCTTCCTTCCTGGGTATTCCAAAACTGAGTAAATTACAAAGGAAGGATGAATAGCTTAGTACTTATTTTCTTTCCTCACTTTCCTTTCAAAAACCCTTCTGACCAAGACTATTCAAACTGTTTATTCATGCAACAAACCCCATGCAGCTTAGTTAGTGAAGAGGTTATACTAAATTCATCTATGCCAAAACCTCCACAATTACAGCCACTTCTCTATGCTGCTCATTCTTTTGGACTACACAGCATTTGCAGTGATGTGTGATCACTCACATACAGTTAAATTATTTGCTATGTATGGAGCCTTGTATCATAAATGTACAAGTCAGTAATTCCTGCCACTAAAGTATATACTAAAAGATAGCACATAGACAACACTTGAGCATTCACAGAAATATATTTTTCAGAATGTAAATGTACTAGCTATATTACGTAGTGAAAAACAACCCAAAAGTGCTTACTGCTCTAAGTGTAGAAAAGCTTAGCTAAATTAGCAGTGGAACTTTAAGTAGTGACCACTACACCTGGAACATGGCCAAAATATCCAGAACTGAAGAAAGATAAAATAAAAAGATCTGGATACTATTTCAGAACTACAGGTTTTGGCACAGTCTGAAAGTCCACTTTGCTCCCCATCAAAAAGCTCAATCTTGAGAACACCACAACTGAGCTACTAATGACTTTGTGCTTAAGGACATGCTCTAAACAAGCACAACCCTTTACAACAAATGAAGACTTTCCACAGATCACCTTTTTAATCACTGTTTTAAGCCAATCTTGCTTAGCTTGAGAAGTCCAACACAGCATGGTGTGTTGTTCTGTGTCCATCTGCTTATCAAATTTCTCTCCTGTTACAGCTTCCAGTGACTTGTCATTTTCAGCCTCTGCACCAGCAGCAAAAAAAAGCACTTAATAAACTGGAAAAGCAAAGTAATCATGAAGCATAAGGATGAGCTGGGACTGTAAAAAACACTGTGTTCCGAATCACTACAGACTCAGGAAGGGAAGGCCATGCCTCTGAAGTATGTGAAAGATGCCATCCCAGTCCTGTGACAATAAGGAGAATACACCTCTGTATGTGTGTATGTTAGAAAGAAGGCTGCTTTCCTCTCCATGCTGGCTATTTCTCCACTTGTTCTCACGGAGTTTCTTCACTTGTATACTATGAAAAGCAACCTGGTCTAGTGAAAGGCATCCCCGCTCGTGGCAGGGGGGTTGGAACTGGATGAGCTGTAAGGTCCTGTCAAACCCAAACCATTCTAGGAAAACAACATCACTAGGCAAAGAAATACATACTTAAAATCTAATTATTAAAAAAAGAGAATATTTATCCTCACAATAATAGATGCCACATCATGAACTAGGAGTAAATGAATTTCAGAGTCTATGTGAGATAATTATTTCCTGCTACCATTCGTAGTAAATGACATTGTGAGGCTTTCACAGAACACAGCAAAAAAAGACAGGTAATTTTCAAAGACAAATCAAAGAAAAGACAAATCAATCTCAGTATTTTTCATATCCATTTTCTTGAAATACATACAGACATAGATAAAAACAAAAAGGAAGACTTTTTGTGGCATTAATGAATTCTATGCAACAAATGTACAAACTTGTGCAACAATTAAATTGTGTTGGTTACCTGTGTAACAGAAAACGTGTTAATTTTTTGATATTACAATAAATTCACATCATACAGCACACCAGCCAGGAGCTAATCAGGTACTACCTCTGTGAAATTTAGTGCAGGGTTAGCAACAGAGTAGTTAAGATGCCTTTGTGAGAACAAGCCACAAGCAACACTAGGTTTGCCATCTAGTACAGTATTCTCCTCCCCCTGCTAAAGGCATCACTAAGAGGGGTGGGAGGACTCACCACACTGTCACTCTGTGGCTTAGGCTGTTTGGTGGGATCCAAAGCAAAGATAGTATACTCAGAGAGAAAAGCAGGTTCTGCTATCATCCCGGCTAGCAGCTGTCATTCAATGCAAAAAGTAGGAAAACGAAAATAAATCAAGTAATAAGGTCATGAACGTTGCACGATTTCACTTGGTTTTTCCACACTGTTCAAAATATCACAATACAGCCATTTACAAGACAAGAGATATCGATAAAGGCAGAACATAACCAGAAAATATGCATTAGATCATTTTAGAACAGCCAAAATACACTGTATTAAAATGAAATTGCAAGATATTTCCTCCCCAGTAGCCAAGAAGTTTCATGCTTCAAATAGGTACCAACAGCAGAATCTACCCAGTCATGGTGCAAGAGCAGTATGGCTGCATCTTCTCATTAGTGAGTTCATCCTCCATTCGCAGATGCTGGGTACCCAATGATTAAAATATTTAAGTACTTGCTCACAGTATTTTTGTTACACCAGCAGATCACTACCTGCTGCATCTTTACAGCTAGATTATAGGCACAGCTGTTTAATGAGTCCTATAATTATACTACCTAATGCTTTCCAAGACATACATGTGTTTTTATCTGCACTTTTTAATTTCTGTAATCACTTATTAAGTAAGGCTTTAAAACTAGCTAATCTAGTGAACTTGGGGGTGGGGAAAAGGGTATTAAACGTCACTAAAAATTATTCACATATCCCTGGAAAAAAGGCAAGGAACAATCTGTTAGTCTGCCAAAATAAAGCAGACTTAAATATTTCCACAATGGATTCTTGCACTTCAGGATGTGGCCTAAAACCCACTTGGAATTACCTCAATGGCTTCAGAAACATTAAACATATCTGGTGCTATACTGTCTAACATATCACTTGCACATTAGTGTTATGCCAGTGACGGGATCAATAAAACTAGACAAGCAGGGAATCCAACTGGACTGGAGCATACTGGAAACAGCCACAATGTGTGAAGATGTAAATAATCCTTTAAGTAACCTTCTCTAATCCCCAGAGTGCCATCAAAGCACACTTGACGCTTGCTACAGAAATCCTACTAAGATCTTCAAACATTCTGCTCCAAACATACTCCAGGGTAAAGGAACACCCTACCCCATACTGACCTTCATCTCAGGCACCAAATTAAGGCTATGGTATTACTGATCTTCTGTCACAGCATTTATCCTCTTTTTTGCAGTAAAATCTTACTAACCAGTGAAGCCATTAGGAGTTATAAAATCCAGGCTTTAGATACAAACTAGGTTATACGGCCTCCAAAATTTAGTTTTAAATTTGCATGTCAGAGAGCAAAAACATATAGACATACCTGAACCACTACCAATTTTGTATGGCAATGCCTGTTTAGAAGTACTTTAAATTAAATATATGAATACAGGAAAGATGCAACATTAACAAAGGTACTGAAGGAATATTATTTAAATTAATTTAAAAACAGAGTCATTACATAGTACTAGAGTGAGACTGAAAAGTACCTTAGCTAGTTTATCTTTAGCTCTAAGGAGAGCTATATATATTGTGCTCTGCTGTCAATTCCATAACACTCATGAGGATGTGAGTGATATTTGATCTTCATGACTGGGAAGTCACCCACAGCAAGCTATCAGCTGCTTGCTCTCAGCTGATGGCTCCAAACTAGTTTTGTTATCTTCTGCAGATGGGTCTAACTTGTAAGTAAATATATATAATATAGAACAGACACTTATTTGAACTCTAGGAACTATACTGAATATGATTGATATATTTCACCTCAAATTTTGTTTGAGAGCCAACGCAGTAACAGTTTGAAAACCAAACTTCTATTCTTCCTTAGAAAAGACCAGAAGCACTAAGTAAGCATGTTTTAATCATCCAGGGCTGCTTCAAACGACACCAAGACTAACTTAGAAAGCATCTGATATGCAAATTGTCTGAAGAGGTTCCATGCAACTACCAGTATATGCTTTTGCCTAACACTGTACTCATATTTTATGACCTACTTGCAAGAACAGAACACAGAACTAGACAGATTTCTGCTTCTTCCTTATACATGGTAAGATTATGAGTTTCTCTAACACTGCCTCTGGAGATCCACAGCTCCACTAAAGTAGAAGCTAAGAAAAAAGTGGGCATGAAAAAGAAGCTTACCTAGTATTCCATGAATGGAGCACACAGGTTTGATGGTTATTTTTAAACACTGAGAATGTTTTGGAATCTTGAAAACTAAGAAAACCTTAGCATTGCAGAATGCAAAGCAAGAATGTTCACCTGCACTGTTTAGTCTGTTCTTTGAGTAGACTAATTCTGTCATTTACAATGGCAATTCACTCTGAAATTGATTTTGCTCTAAAAATATTGAGTTTAAGTTCAAGCTTTCACATGCAATACTTCCAACTTTGATATTACAGCACTAAAAAAAATGAGAACATGATCTGTTAAAGACATACTAAGAGATAATATCCCAGAGGGAGGACAGAGGACATACAAGACAACTATGGAACACTGTAATTTTGCTTAGCTTTCAGTATCAAAAGGGTTAGCAATTATTTGTGTACTACAAGAGCATTTTAGCATATGATACTCTTCAAACAAACATTTTCAATGTATTAAATGCTGTCCAACTTCAGACCATTGTAAAGCCACTGCCCTCTGTACATGAAACATCTGCCTGGTCAAAAGAGAACACTGTAGAAAAACATGCCCCCCCAAATGACGTAATGCATCCATATAATCAGGGTATATATTTTTAGAGATAGCATGCAGTACCTGTATCTTCTTAAAGCACAGTAACACTGCCCCTGAACTGAATTTTATGAAAATCTAATCCAACAAAGAGATTTCCAAGACAATTTGCTTTTAATCATTATCAGTATTTATAAGAAACAGTTGGAGAAAAGAGATTTCATGTCTTGATCATTTAAATTTGTCATTTTAGAAAAGTTTTCCGTTTGTTGTAAAACCAGTTCTTATAAAAAAAACAAACAACAAAACAACCAGATTTTCCATCCCCTCAGCAGCTTCTCTACCTTCTGAATTCCTAATTACAGGATACGTTTCAGAAATAAAATTCTCATAACAGCTCCCCAGGCCCAAGGATAACTGTAAACCTGAAGTCACTTTAGTACTCTGTTTCCATATTTCTCATTCTGCCTCTCTGATCAGTTCAGTGTAACCACTGTATTTAGAGCATACAGTTCTTCCAACATAACTCAGCAGGTCCTGCGGGGAATCCTTTGCTTCTGCTGTTTGTCTGGAAAAGTAGTCTGAAAAAAGCAGTCTGCTGGGGGCAACATATCTCTAATGAAGCACTACAAGACAACATGTAGCTCTACAGAAAGCACTGACATCAGTAGCACCCACCAATATCTGAACACATGAAATAATACTGATGGCAGATTATCTCCTCTGTTAATGCTAGGATGCTAGTCAGGGTTACCTATCACCCCGATAGTGATTTTAATGATGTTTTATGGTGGATAATGTAACTTTTGTTGTTGTTTGTGGGTTTTTGCAGGGAGAGGTGTGGGTGGTGTTTAATTTTGGTAATTATTACTGGTACGACTAGGAACACTCGCAAGGGCCCAGTTTAAGCCTTTAAGCTCACCTGCCTTAAGTTACTTGAGCACTTAACTGGATTCCCCCAACTTTTCAACCAAAGTTAGTCTCTCTGCATGTAACTTTTGTCTCACTACCCCAATGGGTTCAGTTCATGGGTAAGACTTTTAAAACCTGAGGATTTAAAAGGTTTCCTAATCTGGGAGTTAACTACTACAGCTTAAAGGTCTGGTTTACTTATCTGAAACACTTCAGTATTTAACCTAGACTATTTGTACCTACATTTAACCTAAAAATTAGACAATTTGTATCTATAAATGCACTGCAAATGGTGATACTGAAGAATCAAAGAAAAAATAAAAAAAGCCTGATCAAGGACACAAGTTAGATTGTTTTTTTTTTAAGTTAAAAAAAAAACAGAAAAACAGTTCTCAACTGACCTCTTTGTCTGGTGGTAAAGAGTCTTCATCAGTCTGATCCGTAAACGAAGATGTGCTGCTGCTTCTACCAAGTGGTGGAGAGGATTTGGAAGGGACCTACATATATCAACAAGTAATAATATTAAAGTCCAGAACTAGTTATTCCGTATTATAATTTACTTCAACAATTACTAACTGTAGCATCTCTAATTTACTTCAACAACTACTAACTGTAGCATCTTAGTAAAGCCTCATCTAGATCTTCTTTTTAAAGAAAACAACCAGTTCCACATACTGTCTGTGATGAGTTCTACCTTACTACAAAGGCTCTAGAGCAGAAAATGTCATGAATCAGCTACAAGAGCATGAAACAAAATTGGTTATTTTGATTATTTGACCATGCTCCTCCTAGACCAGATTCAAAACTCAATCCTCCTAATACTTCAGCAACATAGTACAGCTGCTTGAGTTTTAAAAGTTTTACAAACTGAAAGGGATTCAAGCACTTACATATGGAATACCATCTGATTCCTTTAAGAGATTAACAACAACAACCAACAAAAGAAGGAAAAAAAATGACAACCTGCTTATAAAAATGAATCTAAACAAAGAGCAGAAGAAAATGACACATTTTATGGTATTTATATGAACCTGTTCTTCCTGAAATTTCACAACTTCACACTGAGTGAGACTGTAGCAAGCCACACCAGCCCATCCCAGATGTAGCTTGCCAGCCTCATACTTCAAAATTCAAGTATAAAATTTCAGTATAAATGCACTGAATATTAAAATATCAACAAGCTTCCATGTACAAAGAAACTAATTTGCAACATCTCTCATTAGGTATATACTACAGTATCATCAGAATGAACAAAGTGCTTAAAAAGAACCCCAACAAACCAAAAACGACCACCAAAAAGAATAGTAACTACCACAAATCCTTTAACACTTTGTTGCAGTGCCGTCACTGAGGGTGCATACATAAATTCTGCCTTGCAAAATATGCTTGTCTCACATGACAGTTGGATGTAATAAAACATGATTGCCAGAGCAGCAGACCACTGAAAAGATATTGCCAAAAAAGACTTTTTTTTTTTTTTCAGAAAATTACACTGAATTTATAGCCTAAATCAGTAAGCACATTTTGTAGAGTTTGGATACTAATGAATTAACATCAACATCATACAAAACACAAGACTATTCCAAAATAAGTCACAGTTACAGGTCTGACCCAAGTGGGCGCAGTGCTCCCACATGAAAATGCAACTCAAAAGTCAAACACCTCGCCTAGCACCAAATAAACCATTCACCATGAAAGCTCTATGTCCTGGTGCAAAATTTAAGACGAAAAATATTCACAGGGATTGAGGAACAACAATGATCTACTCATACCAACAACTCTCCTTCTCTTGTTCTTGCTCCCTAACCCAGTACCAGTGTGCCCTGGTTTCAACTGCGATAGTTTTCTTCCTAGGAGCTGCTGCAGTACTATCTTTTGGATTTAGTCTGAGAATCACGCTGATAACACACCAGTGTTTTAGTTGTTGCTCAGCAGTGCTTACCCTGATCAAGAACTTTTCAGTCTCTCATGCTCTGCCAGTGAGGAGAGGCACAAAAAGCTGAGAGGGAGCAGAGACAGGACATCTGACCCAAACTAGCCAAAGGGGTATTCCATCCCATAGCACATCAGGCCCAGTGTATAAACTGTGGGGAATCTCCTGGAAGAAACTGATCGCTGCTCAGGTCAGGCTGGGTATTGGGTGGGTGGTGAGCAATTGTATTGTGCATCAATTGTGTTTGTTTTTTTCCTCTTCCCTTTCCCCTTTTAATTTTGTATCTTCTCCCCTTATTTCCCTTATCATTACTAGTAGTGGTAGTATTACACTATCCTTTAGTTACTAAACTGTTATCTCAACCTGTGGGTTTTACATTCTTTTGATCCTCCTCCCCATCCCACCCAGGGAGGGGAGAAGGAGGGAGGTGAGCGACCAGCTGCATAGTACTTAGTTGCTGGTTGGGCTTAAACCAAGACACAGTGATTTAAAGATCACTTCTGGCCCTCACCAAGCAGCAGAAAAACAGTTTCCATAAGTTCACCATCGCCACTTTGGTGCTGTTGAGAAGGACGAACGCATTTCTTCGTCTCTTCATTCTGCCCTTAACGGTTCTACAGATTTCACTTCTCTAGAACAGAGATTATAATAGTTCAGTTGAAAGGGACCTACAACAATCTCCCAGTCCACCTACCTGACCACTTCAGGGCTGACCAAAAGTTCAAGCGTGGTATTACAGAATGTGGGAAAACGGGGGGAGGGAGAGTCGCAGAACTAGAGAAAACTGGAGCCTAGAAGCTGTAGTATTAAGGAACTGGTTAAGGGTGAAATACAGTTTGTACTTCCAGGACATTTGCTATGCATGGAATCTACTCCACCATGGCTCCCTGTCCAACACGACCTGCCATCATACCACATGCTACTTTGTCCAGAAGGATGCTGGGAGGGAGAGCATCAAACCCCTTACTAAACCCCAGAAGAACCACATTCACCACCTCCCCTTCACCCAGTAGGTAGGTGACCTTATCATAGAAGGACAGAAAATTAATTAAACAGGACTTTCCCTTTGTGAACCCATGCTGACTGTACCTGATGCTTGCATTGTTCTCTGAATGCCTTTCAACAGCACCAGTATGACCTTCTCTGTAATTTTTACAGGAACTGAGGTTGCACTAACAGGTCTGTTGCTTCCTGGGTCTTCCCTCACACCCTTCTTGTAATCTGGAATAACACTGCATAGCTTGCAGTCAGTAGGGACCTCCCCAGACTCCCAAAAGGACTGAGAGGGGTCCTGCTGTAACATCTTCTAGTTCCTTCAGTACTCTGATGAATCCCATCAGGTCCCATGGAGTTGTGAACATTCAGCCAATACAGCTGGTACCTTACAATTCCAGTGTCCACAAATGGGAAGTCACTGTTCCCACAGTCGTGGTCCTCCAACTCAGGGGACCTTGGGGTCTGTCAGTATTATTAAAGACTGATGCAAAACCGCACTGAATGTCTCTGACTTTTCTTCATCCCTATTTGCTAGGTGACCGTCTTCAACAAGTATCAGTCCAGGAGACATGTGGAATTGCAACAGCATTTTTCCTTGCCAGAAGTTAGATACTGATGTGTTCTTCAGCCTGTGAGGGGCAGAGCACAGGTACTCTAAATCTCACAAACACCAGTCAGCTAAGCATTCAGATGAAAGAGCGAAGGCTACAAGGGCCTCCTCAGAAAAACTGTTACACTTGAGAAGCTCCACCTCTGGATTTAAGCAGTCTTAGGTCAAGCAAAGTTAATCTCAGGCACAAGAAACCAGAGTACAAATGACAAGTTCTAGTCTCAAAGCAGAAGGTAAGAATAGAGCAGAGAGGCCATGGTGAGTGAAGGCTCCCTACAACAGAGTATAGAAAAGTTCAAAAATGAAGACAAACAAAAGCCTCATGCAACTAAGAAATGTGATCTATTAGCAAAATTTGGGTTGTAAATGTCTTGACAGAAAGTAGATGGTAATCTATATGATGAGTACCCAATGAGTGTAATGCATTTTAAGGATCCAAATTACTAAAAGCAAGGTAACAAAAGTAAATTCCACGCTCTTTTCAAGACTCCAGCACATTTTCCACGCCTCAAAACCTTCTTGCTCCTTCCTAATTTACAGAACCTGTTTTCAAATGAGACATGAGGGGTGAGCAGAGCTGCCTATTTTCCTTTTAAAATTCAAATTTAACTCCAATTTCCCACTGCTGCTCCTTGAGAGCAACCGAAGAATAAGCAATGCTGCAAGACAACTATTTTACACATTGAAAAGCTGTTCTCATTTTCTGCTTCATGTCAACCCTTGAGTGACATGATTCACTCTGTCCACAGTACAGCAGACTAGGTGAAAGCATTGTTTACTGTAAGCTCTTGTATTAAGTCTCACAAAACTTGTCCATGTTCATCTTCACAATCAAATCAAGATTGCAGTATATTACACTTTTGGGTGCACATGTTCACTCAGGCCTAAATTTATTCACAAGGCTGATTTTCAGCAAGTACCAATCCCTTAACACATGCACTGAATATCCTGAACTAAGTGGGTCACAATATCGCATGCATGCTGCTCATTGAATTTAGCTGCTGCTCACTGAAAATAGTAAGCTCTGCAGCTCAATCTCTTCACACTGTACTCAAAGTTCATCACATATGCCACTGGCAAAAATGTACCTAACTCCACTAACTAAAGACTCAGGGTTAATAACTATGAAAAAGCTTAAAATAAAACTCAACAAGCTACATAAAGCTTTACAGTAGATCCATTTCCAAAAATACTGTCCCCGTTTGACAAACGAGTCATTTAAATAAATACTACATAGCTCCATGTCAGCAGTTTCGAAACCATGGTCTAATACTGAGACTATGCAGTGTCAGATCTCCCCATGGTTCAAATTACATCCAGATCAAGCCAAGGCAACTGATGGCCTACTTGCAGAATTAACCAAATTATCTGCCTTAGCTTAACACTCCCATGATACAGAGCTTGTACCAGTTTTATTCTTTTAGACTCCAAGATGAGAAGGATACTTAACCCAGCAAAAAGCCAAAGAAGCACAAGCAGGTATCACCTTTTTCAGCACAGAGTTTAACAGTACAAAGTTAACTTGTGAAAGTCCTTCTACACAAATCTGAACTGATAGCATTTATTCTGCTTCAACACATGGATGAAATCATCACAACAGTTTTTGCATAGATACTCTGCACCCATGTCCCATGTCATATCTGATATGCATTATTATTTAAAACCAGTAGTTTCTAGAATTCAAGACTAATTATAACTTTGTGAAAATACAGAAGAGAAAAATGGCCAGTTAAATTATGACTAAAAACCCAAAAAGCCTCGCTCTCGGCTTTATCCTACATTGTCAGGTTTTCCACAGTTAAAAATAAAAGAGTAAGAATAAGGTACACAGATTAGCCCCTTAAATGATGGAAACAGAAGGGACTTACAGGAACTGAAAGAACAAACATACAGATGAGATAAAAAGATAATTAGTCATCGCAATACCGGATCATTATCCAGTGCACAGGAAAGCATCATACAGGCTGATAGAATTGGGCTTGTTTAGCCTGAAAAAGGGAAATCTCTAAGGAGACCTTGTGACAGTTTTCCAATACCTAAAGGGGCCCTGAAAGAAATCTGAAGGACTTTTACAAGGGCCTGCAGGGACAGGACAAGGGGGAATGGCTTTAACCTGACAGAGGGCAGGTTGAGATTAGACATTAGGAAGAAACTCCTGGCACAGGCTGCCCAGAGAAGCTGCGGCTGCCCCATCCCTGACAGTGTTCAAGGCCAGGTTGGACAGGGCTTGGAGCAACCTGCTCTAGTGGAAGGTGTCCCTGCCCGTGGCAGGGGGTTGGGACTGGATGATCTTTAAGGTCCCTTCCAATCCGAACCATTCTGTAACTCTTCAAACGCCGACGAAGAGCTCCACGTCTATTTCGCACCGTTTGCGTTCAAGCAAGAAGTGGTTTTCACACTCCTCCAGAAGCCAGCCTTTAGCCTTAGCAGAGCGCCTAAAAAGAACACCCTGAGCAGTGCCTGGAGAGGCTCTCCCCTAACGACGCAGCTACGCTTCCAAGTTACAGCGAAGCCGCCCGGCACTGACAGAGCCGGCCCCACAGCCCTCGGCCGGCCGCCACACACGGGAGCCAATGCCTACGCTCCACCACCCTCCTGCCGCCAGCACCGGGATGCCGAGGCCTTCCCGGGCGAACCGCGGCCCTGCCCGGCCGGGCACTACGAGCCGCCCGGAGCTCCGTCCCATCCGCCCCCCCCCGCAGCGACCCTACGGTCAGTCCCGCAGCACCGCGGCCCCTCTGCGGTACCTGCGACGGCAGCGGGGCGGCTCGTCCTCTCGCCCCGCGCGGCGACTCCTGCTCCTCGCTGATCTTCTGCTTCAGCTTCTTGAACATGGTGGCGGGAGGGAAAGAAGGAGGGAGGGGGCCGGCGGCGAGGGCAGCGCGGTGCGCCCCGCCAGCGGTCAGGCAGGCAGCGCCTCCCGCGGCGCGGGTGAGGGGCGCGGCGGTGGGACTGAGCACGGCTCGCCCCGGCCCCCGGAGCCGCCGCCGCCCCTCCCTCTCCTTCCTGGGTCGTCCCCCCTCCGCCAACGGCGGAGCAGGTGAGCTCCGCGGTGCTGCGCCTGCGCGGCCAACGTGGAGCCGAGCTCCGCGGGCGGTACGGGGTGCGTCGAGGCACAAACTTCCCGGCGGGATGCCCGGTGCTATTCCTCCTCCTCCCGCCCCGGGGAGGCGCGCTAGGCCGGGAGCAGCTCCGGCTGAAGGGAGGGACTGTCCGCCCGCGGGCCTGTCACCGCTGCTCAGTCAGCGGTGAGGGAGAAGGGAGCTGTGGCAGGATCTGTGCACTCCGCCGCCGTGAGGGTTTGTAAGCCCTTCCTTGTTACCACTGAGGTGATCGGTTCTTGGGCTTCTGAAAACTCCAGATTAAGAAGATGCGTAAAAGATGCTTTTTGAAACTGCCTGAAAAGCTGTCCGCTAGTAACAGAACGATTAGGGTTGGAAAGGACCTTTAAAGATCACCTAGTTCCAGCCCCCTTGCCATGGCAGTGACACCTTCCACTAGGAGAAGGTCGCATTGATTTCATTTAGTACACCCCAAAACCTTATGAGTACTCCTCCATTTGTAAACATGAGGTATATTGCTTACAAATACAGTACCACTGCCTCCCAGTGTTTATCAGTATGGTGATAGGCACTTTATATATATAAATTTATGTATCCACTCTATTTGTGGAAAGGTGGCATTTGCCACCATTGTTATTATCTCTTTGAAACTAGGGGGAAATGTTCTTGGCAGCTTTAGGTTAAAGCCTATGGCTCTAGAGCCCTTGTTGACTGAGATCTGTGCATATGTTCAGTGCTGTCCATGGAGATGCAGAGAGTTGTCAGCAGGAGCTGCCATTCATTCTCCAACAGTGGGATTGTTTTGAAATTTACTGTGTTGACACTGATGTTGTATTAGGGTTAGAAATACATTATGCTATGTGCAAGAAATCAGAGAATCCTAGGCTGGTTTGGGTTGGAAGGGACCTTAAAGCTCATCCAGTTCCAACCCCTGCCATGGGCAGGGACACTTTCCGCTAGAGCAGGTTGCTCCAAGCCCTGTCCAACCTGGCCTTGAACACGGCCAGGGATGGGGCAGCCACAGCTTCTCTGGGCACCCTGTGCCAGCACCTCAGCACCCTCACAGGGAAGAACTTCTGCCTAATGTCTAATCTAAGTCTACCTTGCACCATGTGGTCTTCTATACAGTGCCATACTAAGGAGACTATACGTGGTAATTTTTCTACGCTAAAGTCTTAGTTACTACATGTTAAGGTGATTAATTAATTGAATAATTGGAACTCTTGTTCATGGGTTGCAATAGTACTAACTCAATGTAGTAAACAGACTGCAGGTTGACATTTTTTACTGCAGCAAGGTCTTTTGTTGTGTAAATTCCAATGTACATAATCATTTCCTCTTTTCCAGGGGAGGTGCCTAACCTGGGTTTTAGGAAAAAGTGAAGTAATATTTGTATTATTTAATCATATAGATTGGTGGCATTTAAGAAACTCTGAGACAATGAGTGTCTGTGTTTTTGAAGTGGTACAAAACAGCAATATTATGTGCTATATGTCTAGTGGTGCTAAGACAATACAAAGTAGTATCCCACATTAAACAGTAGTATAAGAATTCTAAAGATATATGTGGTAACTCCATAAAATACTATCATTAACCTAAAAGGGTTTTAAATGTTTTAGCACCTGGGCAAGTTTGATGAAAACATTTTGTAATATACAAAGCATTTAATCTAATCCCCACAGAGGTCTTGGCGGAAATGTCTGGAACTATATTCCTGTACACACACACACACGGTGTCAAAGTCCTCTACTTAACTGAATAGTACCTTATTTCTAGATGGTCAGTCTGATCGTAGTTCATTTCTTTGCGAAGTTAAAAGTAGTAGCTGAAGGTGAACATTTGCTCATTCTTTTTTGTCTTCCTTAAGTACACCAGTTATCGTAGGCTAGACAAGAGAAATATGACATTTTGGTACTGTCTGTGAAAGATAAATGTATATCTGCAAACAGCCCTTGTTATGGTAGGTAATTAAGAATAAAAGCCTGTTACAAATGAAATCTATAGCAGTCATTGAAGTATTTCCGTGGGAAAGGGAATAGAGCATAAATGTAAAAGACACTGTTTTCATAGCAGTCTAGACTTCTCTAATCATCAGCAACAGCGGCTCACACATCCCTGCAGTCCCATTCCTTGCCTTGTGCTAGCTCCAGTGCTTGTCAGACCTTCCCTTAGTCATTTTGGCATGTTGAGTCTGCAGAAAACTAGCCTGACAAAAGAGCAAATGATTTTCTGCTGACTTGCTGTGCTGAGTCCCCTGAGTACAGGAGCTGCTGCAAGAGAGACAGAGGCAGGCAGGAGCTGGATAGCTTTATGTTGCCAGAGCTGTTTCAGACTGCTCAGGATCTGAATTAATCCCACCTAGTCCTGCTTCAAGTTCATTTTACAAGCACTCTGTTACTTAAATAATTGATAGTATCTCAATCAGTAACTATCTTAGTTGCTAATGATGCTTGAACTGTTCATGCATATAGCCTCCAGCCAATCTAATGTGATTTTTAAAATGCTGTCTTTAAATTCCTGCAGCTTTCTGAAGTCACAAAAAAAGCCATGGACATAAATGATGAAAATGGCTTTCAGTGCTCTTTTCCACACCTACAACTCCAATTACTCTGTGAGGAACGTATGAATTTGCTAGCAGTTAGTTCTTTCAATCCCATCATCCATCACAAATATGAAAAGACTTAAAGGAAAGTGACACAATATATAGTGTTTCTGATAACCTTTTAATGTTGGTTCATATTTTGTTTGGAAAGGAGGTTTGCCATGTTTGAATTCTTCCTTACATCATCATCCTGTTAAATGTCTACTACAAAATATTCCTATTATTCCTACTGGATAGTATTTGACATTGAGGGAGTTAGTTTAAAATTAAATGAACATGAACTGGTAATAGAGTAAATCAGCCTAAGCAGAAAGGAGCACTAATCATGTAACAAGAGTTACTGTCCAGAGCTTACGTGTACACACTACTGTTCTTTACAGTTTATGGAATGCTTCATTTCTTAGTAAATTCAGTTTTACTCCTGCTCAGCAAATTCAGAATACTAATGTTGATGTTAAAGCAGTCAGGGAGTGTACCATACATAAATGCACAGGTGATTAGTTTCAGTTAGGAAGTATTTTGATCTTTACTATGGCACAAAGGTTAGAAACAACAGCACGTTATCTGATAGTACAATGAAAACTGTGACACCTCATTGTACCTACAAAATGAGGAGAAATAGTTGTGTAAAGTAAATCCTTTATAGTGCTGTGATCAGAACCCTGAAAGCTTTAATATTAATAAAATGGATAATCAGAGCATTTGTCTAGCCCAATGTGACTGCCATTTTTGCTTTTGTATTTAAATGTTGTGACTTACAACGACCACCAGATGACAGTGTTCCAGAAGATTATAACTGCCTCTACAGAATCATTGCCAGTATTATAAATTCAAAACTATACCAACAGTGAGATGGGCCTTTAAAAACATTCAAGTCGGGGAACTGAGGAAAAAAAAAAAAAAAAACAAGTATGGGCTGCTCTAAGTAACTTGCTGGGTATCAGTTAAAATCCCTTACTTGTGACTGACTTAATGGTTGCTTTGCAAACAGACTATTTGCTGTTCATTTGTATATTCATACACAAATATGAATATACCTCATAATATCTGTGGTGGCCAGATATTGGCCTAATCTCAGTGAAGGTATAACTGAGCAAAAAGGTTCATTAATAGCCATCTGAATAAACACAGTGAGTAATTTGAGGGAAAAGCCAGATTTGTGTTTTCAAAATGCTGTGTATTCAAAAGGCTATGACGAGAGCAAGGGCACTGTCTGAGGAAGCTGAAAGGTAGCTTAGAGGCTGCAGTTGCTCAAACTGACAAGACAAAAGGAATTGACTCACTTCGGAGTAAAGAAAAGCTGACAGGCATTGCTGCTCTGCACCTCTCTGCTCTACAGGGAAAGTTGTTCAGAGATCACATTTAATGTCATACACCTCTCTTGACAGAAGTACAAAGTGCAAGCTCAAGAACTGAAGACCACTAAGAACCGCTCACTAGTTAGGACTGCAGGAGCAGGAAAATTACATGGATTTATTCAGCTGCAAGACCATGAGCCATCTTTGTATGAATGGGAATATAGGACATGGAGAGATTAAAAAAATTAGTGACAGGATTCAATCCTGCAAGAGTCTTACTTTCCTAAAAAAAAAAAAAAAAAAAAAAATCTTCATTTTTTCACTACCTTGTTAAGTGTTAAATTGCATTGCCTTTCTGCTCTGTCTAGGGCATAAAAACCTTTCTTCTAACTTGCATTGCACTTGAATTGTACCTTAAAAGGTCTGGACACAGAAAGGGAGCCAATGATGCTATAAAACAGCAGATCCTTTATATCAACAGTGATGCTAGTTATGAGTTTGATTTTAAACTAGCTGGCAGGAGACTCTGAGTGCTTTCATTCTTATCTCTGTAATCAATATATATATGTATATATATATATATATATAAGAACCACCTAAAAAAATCCCAAACCAACCACCAAAACCAAACAAAACAAAAAAAAAAATTAAACCAACCCAAATTCATATGGGCAGTGAAGTTGTATCTAAAAAGAGACGGTAACTTGTTCCTGAAGACAAAGCTTCATCTTGCCAGAGGAGTGGTCTGGTTTCAAGGAGACCTGTGTTCTATTCCCAGATCTCTCAGTGCACTGGTCACCCACACTGGGCAAGTTACTTTGCATCTCAGTTCTTCTGTTGGTATTTTAAAATCAAGAATAGTGATGCTACCCTGTTTCCTGCAAACATATAGTTAGTTTT